CACCCCACGGAGCATCGGGCTCAGCACATGAACCGGGGGGAGTGGGCCGGGAGGGGCAGGTCGCTGCTGGGGCATCACTCAGCAGGTGGGGAGCCACTGCCCTCTGCATCACTTGCCTTTTCTGGGGCTTTGTTTCCCTCTCTTGTTTAACAGATTCCTTTGCGTTACTATTATTATTATATTTTATTATTGTTGTTGTTACTTTATTTTAGTTATTAAACCATTCTTCTCTCGACCCACGAGTTTTACTTTTTTTTTTTTTTTTGATTCTCCTACCCATTCCGCTGGGAGAGGGGAGGAGCGAATGAGTGGCTGCGTGGTGCTTAGTTGCTTAGTTGTAGTCTACATAAATCAGCTTTTTGTCATGTTTATCATAGTTCCAACATGAATCCAGACTGAAAACTGCTTTTATGAAGCTCATATATACAATATGAAAGAAGAGATATTCCTTGCCTCAGGGAGGACAATAAGGCAAGGAGGATTCTGTAATGTATAAAACAACTTGAGTGAGTATAGCAAGATACTAGTTCTATAATTTCTTTGTTCTTGCATTACGTCAGGCAGAACTAGCTAAGCAAAGCAGGAGGTTGGATCAGTGTTGGGAGCCAACAGCTATTCAGTGTAACTTCACGTTCAGAGGGAAGTGACAAGAGCAATATGGTAAGGACTGCTTTTTCTATCAGGCGTAGTGTCCTCTCAAGCTATTTTGGGTTGTATTTTTTTCATTCGCATTAAAACAATCAAACAAAACCCTCACTTATTCAGAGATGAGAGCTTTTTTATGGTGTTGGAATCTACTTATCTTATTCCAGTTTTGTGCATGTAGCATTTCTGTTTGGTTTTGCTCTACCTCATTCTGGTCAGGTGTCCTAAAGTACAGTGTTTTTCTGTTAACCTTACTGCTTATTACAGGTTTTTTTCTTTCAACATGATGCAGTATTCTTTATTAGGTTTTTTGGTTGGTTGGTTTTTGGTGTTTTTTTTTTTTTTAACAGTCTCACTTGAAGCAGTTCTTCAGCACTACTGGAGCTGATTGCAGAGAAGGGATTATGCTGAGGGGTTGGAATTATATGCATGTAAGGATAACAAAAGTCAGCTGCTTTCTTAGAAGGTAGTTCAGGCAAGACCCACAGTGACTGAGTCACCTAAAAGAGACAATCTCCTTTCTCTGAAGAAGTATGGTGCTTTTATTGTCTAGAAGCTTACTGTCTCCAAGCTTGCAGTGTGTGATTGCAGCAGCTTGCTAGTTATGTGTTGAGAATACAGGATTGTTAAAGATGCTATTGGAGAAGAGTGTGCTAATAAAGGGATGCCAGCTATCTTAGTTTTGCAAAGTATGGAAGAATTGTGTTGAATTTGCTTTGTAAGGATTCATGTGAGTTGTACTGAGCCTCTGAGAGAATCAGTATATTACTATTTGCCTCCCTGTAGTAACATGGGTTAGTTTGGAACAACAGTAATAATAGAAATTCTGCCTGCCATTTTTACCATCTGCTTCCCAGTCTAATAAAGTCTTAAGCAAACTCACGTGTAATGAAAAGAAGACTTTACTTTCTTTACAGCTGCAGAATGGCTCAGGTGTGTACATATGGAAAATGGAGGTGTTCTCTTGTCATAGCTAGAGGCTGTGCCTACATAAGTTGTGTGCTAAGTGCTTGTTTGGTTTTTTGTTTGGTTTTTTTTTTTTTTTTCAGACTAGAGGTGCTTGTATTTTGATGAAAAGCACTTGCATTGAGTTGTGGCCTGAGAAGGAGCCTTGAAACTTGAGGACTGGGGAAAAGGGGGAGGAAGGAAGGGGAAATACTTTCTGAACATTGGGAATGTCCAGAAGGCTATATTTGCTAAATGGTACAATTTATCAGGGTAATGATGATTTCCTGCTTGGAAGTTAGAATGTTGTGATTGAAAATCTATATTATAGTAAGGATTTTAACAAAAATCTATTGAGTTGGAAATAAATTTAGTAACACTTTGATGAAGCTGGCAATGAATGATGAAAAATTGCATGTGTTTGTGCTGATGGGAATCATTATCATCATATCTGGAAGGAGCATCTTACTGTGTGGAATGCTAGAGAAGGAAGGGAAGAAAGGGGCATGGAAGTTTGGAAAAGCGTTGAGTATTGGTAAAGGTATATTTCTCTAAATTCTCCCTTAGAACAGTTATATGCTACGTAGATCATAATACTAGTAGTATGTCCTCTCCCACTGCTGTCAGACTTCTATATCTTAGATACAGAGCATCAGATTTTTACAGTTGTCCTCTTAGTGGTCCTCTGTAGGGCAGCCTTTCTACCACACGCTAAGGCAGAGTATCACTGCTGCCTGTTTCTCACTGTACAAGATTAGTAGCTACTCAACTGTGTCGGGCATTCATAGCAGCTCTGTATTCAACAAAACCACGTCTTCAGCTTCACAACTTTTTCTGTGTCTTCTCCACATCGTATGATAATCATTTATCTTCCAGTATTCGGTGTGCCAGCAAATGCTGGCAAAGTAGGAACCAGACATGGTTCTGGTGGGATTTTTATTGTATCCAGGCAATGACCATTCTTTACAGTCCACTCCAAGTTCTGTTTGGAGTCTGGTGCAGCGAGTATGGTGCCATCCTGATAGTTTCCCTGGACAGAATTCCAATTCAGCACCTTGTGACATGCATAAAATCATCTGTTGCTGTTTGTGATACATTTACAACTCTCAACTTCCCTTTGCCTTGTGTGGCATAGGATTGCATGCTCCTTACAGCTTGATATTGCTTCATATATAGCAGGGCATAAAACCAACTCCCCGGTGGCAAGGGCATGCTTTTGTCCTACCACGATCACTCAGGTTCAGGAAACTGCTTGATCACATTGTAACTTTGTAGGAGATTAATAATTAAACTGTGTCTGAATTTAATTTATGCCCCCTTGCTTTGTGAACGAGGTTAATTTCATGTAAAAATAATATTTTCATGATCCATTCTGTTATTCTTTTAATTCTGAGAGCCAATCATTACAGTGTGAAATTTGTTACCACCTTTTCGACAAGATTGGCTTGCCCTTTCAGCTAGCCAGATGTGTGTCTTAGACTTCCTTTCTAGCTATGAGAATTGGAAACGGCAAGAGAATTGAATCCCTTATCCTAAAGCAAGGTTTTCACAATCAACTCTATTAGCAAATCTGATTTAATTTGTTGTTGTTAGCCTTTTATTAATGGAAGCATAGGTAACGCTTCTTTACATCTGCCTTAAGAGAGACTAGCAGCAGCTTTGGGAAGAGATTTACAGGGCTTAGCTCTGGTGAATAGATGAGGGAGAATTTAATATGGCATAGGCTGGGGAAAAAAACAGTATTGAGAAAGATAGCAGCTAGGCTAGCACAAGAGAATGATATTGGAATTGTTGACGAGTTGTCTCCTGCATTTGCATTCTCTTCCTTTTTTTTTTTTTTTTTTTAAAAAGTAAACTTTTTATAGGATTTTATAGCAGGCATGAACAAAACCTCTCAAATATGGATGGCTGAGGCACACCTTTGTGTCTGAGTATAATGCCAGGTGGCACACTGCTTCTGCTAGATCTCAGACTTCACAAATTTAAAGGGAAAAAGCACATTTTATCTATGTATAAATCTAATTGTCAGTTGTTGGTGAGAGTTGGGGCTGGTGAACTCAGCATTTTGTAGCATTTGGAAGTTTACAGGTAGGCCCTTTGAATGCCTTTTATTATTTTTTTTTTTAATAAGCTGGAAACTTCTGACAACACCAAGAAGATGACCCTGCAGTGAAAAAAACCTCAGAAAAACAAACAAGAAAACCCAACTCAAAAAAACCCTACCTGCCTAGCCATCAGTGTCTGTCTAGTGAAGGGAGTTCTAGGGTCTGTCTGAATTGATAGAATTCTTGGCCACCTTGGGCCTACACCTTTAAGAATAGAGATTATTGTGGTACACCATGTGCTGTTGCCCAAATTATTTTGTTCTTAGTCAAGCAAGTGAGAGTTATCATTCTTTAAATTCTTGTCTACATTAATTTCATTATCAATGCTCTCTTGATAGCAATTACTGTTGCAGAAGCAGTTTGCAGTGCATATAGGATGGTGGCCACACTATATTTAGGCAGCCATCCAGCAGGAAATTATCCTTGGGGTCTGTAAATATGCCACAGGAACTCAAAAAAGCCAAGATATTACAGAATTTATGGCATTTAAAAAAAAAAAATAATTAGAACTTTCTTGATCACTTGTGAAGAGGGAAAAATTCTCTGTACTACTCTTGCTTTTCTTATTCAGATCCTTGAAAGAAATACTGTTGGGGGATGTTGCTATGCAAGCTGCTTGTGAAGGAACTATTTAGTGATGACAAATCAGGAGAAAAAATTTTCATTATACAATATTTTCAACTTTTCATGATTTAAGGCTGTTGTGTGGGTTACCTGAAATAAAAACTTTAAAAAAAAAAAAAAAAGTATTTGTCTGGCTTTCTGTTACTTTTTAGCTATACCATTAATCTGTTGATAATGTATTTTAGGTCTGGTTTAGATATGTAGGAGAGACCGGTTATCAATGGTATATATATTTAAAAATAACTGACAACTTATGGAATTGCTGTGAACTTTAATCATCTGGTTTGGGGATTTTTTTTTTTTTTTACAGTCAAATTTTCCTCTGGTAGTTCATAAACTGAAATAAACTTCAAGTTAAATGTGTGTTGAAGCTGCTCATTTTTTCCACTTTGTGCTATTGAAGTTTCTCTGGAGTCTGCACACAGAACAACAATTTGACTAGTACCTTCATATTTAACTGGTGGAAATACAAAGTCACTAATGTGCAGATTTGACCTATAGATGAGTTACAGAAAAAAACAGTGACATGCAACATTGAGAGACCTAAATGAAGTAAAATATGCATATTATGGGAAGTGTTTTAATTATTTGTTCAGGAATTTTATATGCCGTAGTGTTATGAATATTAGAATACTTTATTTATTGCTGAATTAATTAATTCCTGTCCTTCCTCTGCCACAGGAACTCATTATACAATGACAAATGGAGGAAGTATCAACAGTTCAACACATCTACTGGATCTTCTGGATGAACCAATTCCTGGAGTAGGAACATACGATGACTTCCATACCATTGACTGGGTTCGAGAGAAGTGCAAAGACAGAGAAAGGCACAGACGGGTACTTGAGATAAATAACTATACTTTGAAAATATTTTTTATTGGATGTTGGGATTTAAGTCTGACCTAGTAACGCATGCAAATACGCACATACTTTAAATTTGTATGTAGTTTCACCATCTAGAACTACTTGAGTGCTATTAAAAAAGCAATGTTTCATTGATACCTGCTGTTCTGCAAGAGTATTATAACTTGGAAAGGAAACAGTAATTCAGTCAAGTGGGAATAGTTCCCTGTAACCCACATGACATTTTTACAGTACTGCCTTTTTTTGCATGCTAGTGTGTCTAAGACTATTTTCCAGTGTAGATAGATTTGTAATAGTATCATAGTGCTTGTGGTGGTACTTTGACAGAAAAGTGAGCGCTGATGTATATTGCTTTTATACTGACACAAGCGTGTCTGTGCTACTGCTGTGCCATGCTGCAGTTGTTTGGGTTATGGAAAATGAAAAATCTCAATATAGAAAACACATATCAGCGTATACATGCTTAACAAAAAAAGTAGTCTCAATATATATGGTAAATGTCCTTTCCACCCTCCCATCGCAGAACCTGCTTTTCTCCTTTTCTCTACTAATTTCTTCAGAAGATCTTCAAAGTTCAGGCCATTCATCTTAACCAGTGTGCTCTGCAGTGAGTTCTTTCATGAAACGGACTGAAGTTGGATTAGTCAGTGTCATGCTAGATACTGTCATTCATGTAACGAACTTGTTTAAAAGCATTTTAGGAGGAAATATACGATTTGGAGCCTTACTGCCAAGTTTTTGGGATGCTTACATTAATTAACCTTAAAAACAGAACAGATTTGGCGATGTGATTTCTCCTAAAATATTTTTAACTGATCAAAATGAATAGTTACAAAGTAATTATAATTGTATGGAGGAGTCAGGGGAGAGGTTCCTTCATGTACAACACTAGCATTATTCTGCTTTCTTTGGAAACACCATTTTTAACTTTCTGGAAGAAAATGTAGGATGTATATGCTGATCTACTTTGACATGGTTAAAAGAAAAAATAAATCTTACACTAGTTTAAAAAAGAAGCCATCCACAATTGCACTATCTAGTGGTTTGTTTTAAGGAAAAGAGATCCTTGGACAATGAATCTGAGAACACGTACATTGTTTGAATGCTTTTAATGAAAAGTAAGAAGGTGTTTTCCATGTAATAGTTTTTTTTTTTTTCATAATTTGATGTCTAAGCAGTAATTAACACAATGCCATCTTCATGCTGCAGATGTGTAGGTTAGTGTCTGGTGGAGATGCCACTGGATAGAACGCTGGGTCTGAGCAATTGCTGGCAGGGCAGGTCACACCTGGGAGTAGGTTAGCTAGCGTGAAGTCTCACAGCTGTTACTCATTTTGATGTCTGAGACCAGAAAAGACAGACAGGACAGTTCACACTCTATAGGCACAGAACTGTGACATTTATAAATATGCCCTGAATGATAGGAGCCTCTCTAGCCATGTAATCAAAGATACTGAAAGAAGAAGGAATGAGTACTACTAGTTGATGGTTATTTTGAAAGACATGCTACTGTAGAAACAACTTTTTTATTAAAAAAAAATTTGAGAATCTCACAAATGTAGAAGAAACTATGAAATATACTTATTCGCTTTAGGGGTGGTATTTTTTCCTACATTTCCTTGTCTAGTAATCTTCTTGCTGTTTGTTGCACATACTTTCTCCCTCCTTTTACAGTATGAAAAAAACGTAAGAATAGGATCCCACTTACATAATGAAGGTTTAATCATAAAACAAATTATGCACAAATTTCAGATGAGTGCACAAAGTAAATAAGGCTAAAATAAGAATTACTATTTTTTCAGTACAATAACATTAGATGTCATTAGTAATAGTTGTCTAGAAGTATAGGGGAGTTATCAAGTTTTTTGTTTTGTTTTATTTTTGTGTGATTTTTAGTCTAAAGATAAATGTTTATATTTGAAATAGAAGATAAGGAATTTGAATTTTATGGAATAACTTACTAGTAGTGCACTAACACTTTATTTGAGGTTCAATAAAAAATATTATTTAGGAGATAAATAATTTTACAATTGCACGTTTTAGATGCGTATCACAGAAAGTATTCATTTATCCTAATAATGCATTTCCTGGGTTTTAGTTCTTAAATTAAGCAAATTTACTTTGCTCTGTCAGTTGTTTGATGTCTGAATAACCGAGCTGATTTATCTATGTAAAGCACTAAATACAAGGAGAATGCTTGTAGTTTAAAGAGAGGGTATATTTGCTTGCAGCTTGTATCATGCAGTTCGTATATCAGACTTAATTTTCTCCTATTCAAATTAGAGAAACACATACAAGTATACATAACGATTTCTCTTTGCAGATTAACAGCAAGAAGAAAGAATCAGCATGGGAGATGACAAAAAGTTTGTACGATGCATGGTCAGGATGGCTTGTAGTCACACTAACTGGTTTGGCATCAGGTAAATTCAAACCCAAAGGATTTCTTTCTTAGGTTTGTCAGCAAGTATAGTTACCGTGTTTTTGTTTGTGTTATCCACCAACCTGGGTAAGAGCTGGCTTAGACTACCACCATAATTCCATGAGGGAAGGAAGAAGTTGACTGTCTTGACTTACAGGCTTTAGCATTTTGAGGGGAGGGTTTACTCATCAAATGGAAAACAAAATCCTCACTGCATTTAGTGAGAGTTTCTCAGAGTTATTGAACTTCTGCCTATGAAGCTGTCAGTGTTCTTTAATACTGTGATTGAGATTGGTGTTTTCCCATTCTGTTAAATTTTGCTTTTTTCCTCTAGGATTTCTTGCGAAAGTGTATTAACTGATCTTGCTAGATGTTTTTTCTCCTACGAATTTGTCTTTGTTTGGTTTTGTTTGTTTTTGTGTGTGTGTGATTTTTTTTGTTTGCTTGTTTTGTTTTATTTTTGTGGGATTTTTTCCTAGGAACTTTACTGAACCCATTAGCTTACTCCATATGGACCGAGAAGTAGCTCTGGTATATGTGTAGTTTTGGTGAACACAGTTCCTTGTAAAGCATGCGTTTATACATGAGCAAAGTCTAGTTATGTTTACATCATACTTTTCTAGAGGTTGTTGCACAGAAAACACTAGCTTTAACAGGTAGAGTTTGTTGGCCTCTACTTCAACTATATCTTTTCTTTTTAATGTATTTTAGGATGAGTTTTACATCGAAAATAATTTTGTGGGCCCACACTCATGCAGTGCTGCTTTCTATCAGCATAGTTTGGGGTGACCAAAACGTGCAGGAGTGAGAAGTCACAAACTTTGTGCTCAGTTTTTCCCAAAAAGTATTTCAAACAGAGATCTTGGATTAAATGCTAGGAAAATCGGATTAGTTGCAGAGTATGGGTGTGCTTGTTAAAAAAGTATAGTAACTGTATAATTACTACTTAGATATATACATAATCACTTTCACAAATCACATATAAATTAATATATATGCAAAGTTTGTAGTATGTTTATATACCTCCGAATGTACAAACTAGGAGTATATAATTACTGGCAATTGCTTGTAATAATTTGGGTGGGAACATGCAGTGTTGTGTTTCCACCCTGAAAGCTGCTATGTATATTAAAATTGCCTTACTACCTTTCTGAGCAACAAAGCGAGCAAATTCTGGTCATGAACATTCCTAGATTTTTCGGTTTCAGTTGCTTTCTGTTGTATGTGTCTAGTGAATCTTAAATGGTACAATGCTGATTTCAGTCGTGGGGAGGTCTTCTGTTTATGTATTTTAATTTAATTTTGTTGAAATTTTGTTCTACTGAAATATTCACTTTGATTTCGGTTGGCCCAGGATCTCAAACTGAAGGTCTGTCAGACTAGTAAATATAAATTAGTAAATTGGAGGTAATTCTCTATTACCAACTTACACAAGTGAAATGGTGACTGTAATTTTGTAATAATGTAATTGTGACAAAAAAAAAAAAAAGTAATAATTTTGACTGTCTCTATACAGCTAGTTCTAGTAGTGATTAATACATTAAAAATAGTAAATGATAACTAATTAATAGTTACACACCTTCACGAAAATAGTGACTTTAGAAGTAGTTTTTCAGTATCCTGCTACCATGAAAAACTATTTTGCTTTTGTAAAATAAAGAGGGGGTTTAATTTTTTTTAAATCCTTTGAAGCAATTTCCTAAGTAATACCTTTTTTTTGAGGACTTTTCAGCAAGTTATCTGCATGTAGTTGCAACACAGAATCCCTCGTAAGCTTTGAGTTTGTGAACTGCTCAGTATCTATACTGTTTTTCACCTGAAGTAGGAATTTCACACACTCACTGTGTTACAGAACCAGGTCATTTTGTATATGGATCACATGAATGTCATCAGGGTTTATTTGGTGTTTTATTTATGTCCTAAAACTGTTGTTGGCAAGGTAAGAATTACTTTCTCTAAACACGCTGTTCTGAACAAAACATAGTAGAATAGTTCATGAGTGCTCTGAGGCATGGCAAGGTAGTTTTGTCAGAAGTTCTGTTGTCTTTGTCACCACAAAAATGTATCAGTCCTCTTGATTCTTAACTCCTTAATTTCAGTGAATTGTTGGAGAACTGTGGCATTGGGTGGGTGGGAAAGATAGATGCATTTCACTTGGGAAATACACAAGGTACTAGATTCTTCAGCAAATACAAATCTTGCCATATTGCAAAGAGGATATGTTCCTGGAAATCAGTAATATTTTAAATGTCTATTTAGGTTTTCTGTATTTTTAATTTACATCAGTTAATACCATCACATTTCTTCATTTTAGCGGTGTGTGTTATTCCTATTTACCAGAATATTAATACAAAACTGTTTCTACAACAGGGGCATTGGCAGGATTAATTGACATTGCTGCTGACTGGATGACTGACTTGAAGGAAGGCATTTGCCTTAGTGCTTTGTGGTTTAACCATGAACAGTGTTGCTGGGGTTCAAATGAGACCACGTTTGAAGAGAGAGATAAATGTCCGCAGTGGAAAACATGGGCAGAACTAATAATTGGGCAAGCAGAAGTAAGTATATACCTTTTCTTTGATGGTCTTGCTTGACTGAACGTGAAAAGAAAATAATGGTCTTAAGGTTAGGGTACTAAACACGGATTTGGGTTGTACTATCTGCTCCATTTTTCAGCATTTGAATTGATGAATAGGTTACAGTGTAATAAATGTGCATTTCATGCTCTCTGAGGGGGCTTGGAGTGTTGCTGGTGTAAGGAAATTATGAGAACATAGAACTGTTAATAACATGAGAATTTCTGTTCTTGATCAGAGCTATACATAAAATAAAAATTAAATTTGTGTTGTTCTCCGATAACTAAGAATAGACTGGTTTTATTTTTTCTACCACAAAATTTTTTCAATTAAAGAATATTTACTTGGTATTCAGTAGATTTTAGCATCTAATAGCTATTAAAAAACCCCAACCTATGCTATGGTTATTTTTGCTTTTTAAGGTGAATTGTTAGGACAGTTTCTACCTCGTATAACCCAGTCTTTGCTGATATGCAGGTGTCATGACTATGCTTTTCAAACAAAACTCTCTTTCTCGGCTTGGTAATAATTACTGTCCCTCAAAACTTGTACATAAGTGTACTTGCAGCAAGAGTACTTCCAGGTTATTTTAAGTAGTGATTTTGTTCCTACATCAAATTTATATTCTGACATTTTTTTTTTTTTTTTTTCTTTTAGGGTCCGGGTTCATACATAATGAACTACATAATGTACATTTTCTGGGCTTTGAGCTTTGCCTTCTTAGCAGTTTCTCTGGTGAAGGTATTTGCTCCCTATGCCTGTGGCTCGGGGATACCTGAGGTGAGGTCTAACTAATATATATATTATAGATGTTTCATATGAATGTGAAAATTCCTGCTGCCTTACAGGGTCAGGGGAAAGGCAAGAGGGAGCGCTCTGTTACTTTGATGAAATCCATTAATAGAAGTATGCAAATTGAAGTAATGTAATTGTGCTAATTGTTGCTGAGAAAAATACCCCAACTTTCATAGAATCTCCTGAATTTGTAGATTTTGCTGCATGCTTCTGGCTGGACTACTTTTTAAGGAACCATTTCTCTTAGGAGAGTAGACTTCTGAAGAGTGATTTCCAAACACCCACCCCCCCACCTCCCTCTGGTGATAAGAGAGCAGTTGTTCATTGACAGAATACGGGCCCTTTGATACAGCAATTGATTTTTTTGTTGCACTGACTTGAATTGCCTTAACTAGCACAAACCATCAGACAGTCACCATGTAAAATGTGTAATATCCTTGAAAACTCATAGTTTTTACAATTGCTGTCTGCTACTATACACTGAATGGAAGGGAAAAACCCAAAGTCAGTGTTTGGTCAGTCTCACTTCTCCAGTCATTCTGTAAATATTTCTTTACGTATGTGTATTGTAGAAGTTGAAGGACAAATCCTGCCTCAGAATAAGGCTGGAATAGTTCTGTGCCATTATTCCAGACGAGATTTCATCCTAAATTGGTTTCTAAATTTAGCTAACCTTTACTTTCTAGACACAGCTGTCCAGTGTTTTGTGTACTTCCTATTTATAGACATGTTGTCCTTTCCTACGATAACTATATTATTTCCTACATATGGGCATATTTTCCAGGGTAATAATATGACATTGTTAGGTAAAGTAGTATCTTAGGCAAGTGGTACATCTTTTCTGGTGGAAAAAGGCTGATCTCCTCCATCTTTATGTCAAGGGATCTACTGTTAAGTTTTTATATGGAGATGGTAAAATATAAGGAGGAGACAGAGAGGGGTAAAATTGGTGCTAATGTGGTATTGCTACAATAGGTGACCTTGAATATAGTTTTTGCAGGTTTATTTTTCCTTTGGGAGTTTTCTGACTTCCACTTGGTAATTTACATCATAAACCAGTGAATGCAGACTTACATGCTACTGCAGATTAATTTTCTACTTAATGTAATTGCTTATATTGTATGTTATTGTGCAGTATCTTAAAGTTGCAAAGGGAAAGCCTCTAGCAACCAAATGGACTCAGTGTAGCCATCTGAACAGTACAAGTTTTAAAGTGTGATAAAGTTAGTAATTTGGAAAGGCTATTTTTTAAGTTATACACCTAAAATGATACAATTAATTATTTTCTAAAGAAAGCAGAATAGAGTAACGGATACTGTTTTTTTCTTTCTTCCAGATAAAAACTATTTTGAGTGGCTTCATCATCAGAGGTTACTTGGGGAAGTGGACTTTGATGATAAAAACAATTACCTTAGTCTTGGCTGTCGCATCAGGTTTGAGTTTAGGAAAAGAGGGTCCCTTGGTACATGTTGCCTGCTGCTGTGGGAATATTTTTTCCTACCTCTTTCCAAAGTACAGCACAAATGAAGCTAAAAAAAGAGAGGTAAGCTCTTGTAAAAGCATTTCTAGAATGTACTGAATATCCATGCATTTACACTGATATGTTTAAAAGATGATATTTGTTCTCTCAGACAGTGTTTAGGCTTGGATTGCCAATAGCTATGTATTGTGTTAAGAACAATGTATTACCCCTAGCATTCTCCAAAGTCAGTTGTTTCCATGTCGGAGTAAGTTTGCATTTCTCCCACCTTAGAGAGCATTTGATTTTATTTAAATTCTTTCTGTTCTTGGCTCTACATTTTGGTAACTGATGAGTGTCTTCACTTGTGGTGACAGCAGAGGACTTTTGAACCTGTGAACAAAAGTATTCCTCGAAAAGGGTTGGTGACAACAGTGTTTCTGCTCTATTTCAGTTTGTCGTTGTTAGTGGGGGTGGTGGGTTGGCCTGGGCACCCACCAAGCTGCTCTCTCGCCCCTCCTCCTCAGCAAGACAGCAGGAGAAAATAAGATTAAAAGTTCATAGGTCGAGATAAGGACAGGGAGGTCACTCCCCAATTACCATCACAGGCAAAACAGACTAGACTCAAGGAAGATTACTTTATTGCCAATTCATGACAGCAGGATAGTGAGAAATAAAACCAAAACTAAAACCACCATGCCTCCACTCTCCCTTCTTCCCAGGCTCATTTCCAAATTTTCTATCCCAAAATGGCACAAGGGGACAGGAAAGGGGGACTGCGGTCAGTTTGTAATACTTTGTCTCTGCCGCTCCTTCCTCCTCATGCTCTTCCCCTGCTCCAGTGTGGGGTCCTACCCACGGGAGACAGTCCTTCACAAACTCCTTTGGCACAGGTCCTTTCCACAGGGTCTGGTCCTTCAGGAATGGACTGCCACAGCCTGGATTCCCCCACAGGCTGCAGTTCCTGCCAGAAACCTGCTCTGGCATGAGTTTTCTGCGGGCTGCAGTTTCCCTCAGGGCACATCCACCTGCTCTGGTGTGGGCTCCTTCCACAGGCCGCAGGGTGGAGAGCAGCTCTGCCATGGACTTCCATGGGCTGCAGGGGGACAACTTGTGTCACCATGGTCTTCACCACGGGCTGCAGGGGGAATCTCTGCTCCAGCACCTGGAGCACCTCCTCCCCCTCCTTCACTGACCTTGGTGTCTGCAGGGCTGTTTCTCTCACATTTTTCTCACTCCTTTCTCTCACAGCTGCTGTGCGGTGTTTTTTACCCTTCCTTAAGTATCTTATCACAGAGGTGCCACCAGCATCACTGATGGGCTCAGCTTTGGGCAGTGGTGGGTCCCTTTTGGAGCCAGCTGGAACTGGCTCTGTTAGACACAGGGGCAGCCTCTGGTGGCTTCTCACAGAAGCCACCCCTGTGGCCCCTCTGCTAACAAAACATGGTCATGTAAACCCAACAGAGTCATGCTAATGAAAACAAGTATAGTCACAGACAGTACCAAGTATTAACATTCTTACTAATTTGATAAAATTTTTGTTTTATAAAATAAAAAAGGGTGTTGTCCCAGCTATACTTCAGTTCTCAGGCTGAACTGCTGTACTTCTAGAAGGAGACTGCAGAACATGAGAAATTTGGGTTCACTTCCTGTTTCAAAGCTGTATATTCTTAAAACACTTAATTTACCTGTGGTTTAGCTGCTCATCTCAGAATAATGTAGTAATTCTTCGAGTTTCTCTGTGTATTTTTCCACAGGTGTGTAAGGGCTACTGCCTGGGGGTCAGTGTTCTTGCATGGAATTTGTCCAATGTTGTTATAATTAGCATGCACTTTAACCATAACCTCATATATTGAACATAATTCATCCGTGATGCTGTAGGACCGGCTGCTGCTTCAGTTCCATAATACTTGTGATTGATGGACTTCTCCACCGCACACATCTGTAATAGAATAGGACAGACTATTTCAGCTGGAAGGGACCTACAGCGATCATCTACCCCCACTGCCTGCCCAATTCGGGGCATGTTATTGAGGGCACTGTCCAAACGCCTCATGAGCACCGACAGGCTTGGGGCATCCACCACCTCTCGAGGAAGCCTGTTCCGGTATCTGACCACCCTCTCGGTAAAGAAAGGCTTCCTAAAGCCCGGCCTAACCCTCCCCTGGTGCAGCCTTGAACCACTCCCCAGCGTCCCGTCCCCGGATCCCCGGGGGAAGAGCTCAGCACCTCCCTCTCCACGCCCCCCCCCGGGAGGTCGCCCCTCGGCCTCCTCTGCTCCAGGCCCAAAGCCCTCAGCCGCCCCTCACAGCCCGTGCCCCCCAGCCCCCCCCCAGCTCTGTTGCCTCCTCTGGACGCACCCCAGGACCTGGACGTCCCTCCTGGAGCTGCGGGGGGGGGGATAATCCCCTCTCCTGCCCGGCCGGCCGGGCTGTGTTTGACGCCCTCGGGGCTGCCGGGGCCCAGCGCTGGCTGGTGCTGAGCCTGCTGGCGCCCAGCACCCCCACACCCCTTCCTGCAGGGAGGCTCTCCAGCCGCTCCTCTCCCCCCTTGTACCCGTGCCCAGCATTACGCCACCCTAGGTGCAGAATTCAGTATTTCAACTTGTTAAATTTCATTCCATTCATCACTGCCCAATGCTCCAATCTATCTGTATCCCTCTGCAAGGCCTCTTGTCCCTCGAGAGAGTCAACAGCACCTCCCATTTTGGTATCATCAGCAAACTTGCTAACGGAGCATTCAACTCCTGCATCCAGGTTGTTGATAAATACATTGGGCAGGACTGGCCCTAGAATTGAACCCTGAGGAGCACCGCTGGTGACTGGCCGCCAGCCAGGTGTAGCCCCATTCACTACAACCCTGTGAGCCATCCAGCCAGTTCTTCACCCAGCACACCATGAACCCGCACATCCCACAGCTGGACAACTTGTCAGGAAGGATGCTGTGACAGACAGTATCGAAAGCCTCATTAAAATCCCCCAAAAATACCTCCACTGCCTTCCCTTCATCCGCAAGGTGGGTGACCTTATCATAGAAGGATATCGAATTAGTTAAACAGGTTTTTCCTTTTGTGAACCCATGTTGACTCTGCCTGATGGCTGCGTTATTCTTTAAGTGCCTTTCAATAGCACACAATATAATCTTCTCCACAATTTCTCCAGGAACTGAGGTTAGGCTAACAGGTCTGCAGTTCCCTGGGTCTTCCCTCACGCCCTTTATGTAGATTGGGATAACACTGGCTAGCTTCCAGGCAGCAGGGACCTCCCGTGACTCCCTCTGGTAGCTGATCGGGAGGGTCCTGCCATAACATCCACTAGCTCCTTCAGCACCCTGGGATGAATCCCATCAGGCCCCATGGACTTGTGAACATTCAGCTGAAACAGCCAGTTCCTTGCAATTTCAGTGTCCACAAATGGGAAGTCACCGTTCCCACACGTGTGGTCCTCCCAGCTCACAGGACCAGACAGCCCAAGGTCTATCAGTATTATCAAAGACTCATAGAAAACGCATTGCACACCTCTGCTTTTTCCCAATAGCCGTCTTCAACAAATATTGGTCCATTGTTTTCTTTAGACCTCCTCTTGCTATTAACGTACTTTAAAAAGCCCTTCTTGTTATCTGACACCTGTAATTGAGCTTTGGCCTCTCTTGTCTTCTTCCAGCATATATGAACCACAGCTCTGTAATCTTCCTGCGAAGCCTGATCTTACTTTCAGAGAACACACAATTTCTTCTTGAGCTCCACAAAGAGTTCTCTGTTCAGCCAAGCTGGTCTTCTGCCCTGCTTGCTTGACATATGGAACAGTGGAATTGCCTGCTCTAGCACAGAGAAAGCTTTACAATTTCTTAAAAATGCAGTATCAGCAGTTTCATAGTGAAGCATAGACTCCTTTGGGCGCTTCGCGGTAGAGGCTTTGAGCAGTGCCCTTGGCTCCATCGTGGCTAGTACCTGGTTGGTGGTGGCTGTGGCCACTGGCCACGTCTTATGAGCATTCTGATACACTTACTTGATTCTCTTCTGTTAGCAAGTATGTCTGTCCATGACGGGAACCTGGAAGAAACTGATAACTGAAATGAGATTGTCTTCATGTTCAAAGCATGTCAGATTATAGGAAAAACCCCTCATCGTTGTTCTTTTCCAGGTGTTGTCAGCTGCCTCAGCAGCAGGAGTATCTGTAGCCTTTGGTGCCCCAATTGGTGGAGTCCTTTTCAGTCTGGAGGAGGTATGTCAAGAAATAGCACTGAAGGATAGATATTTAAAAATACCTCTTTTATCATGAATAATCTCAGACTCCTTTAAGATATGGAGTCTTTCCAAAGAAGGAAATTATTTTTGGACCCACATTTCAAAGTCAAGAGTCGTGTTACCAGCAAATTCATAAAGATATTTTTCCTTTTCTTTGGATGATGTCAGCTTTGCTTTATTCTCGGTTACATTTTTCTGGAGAAGGGCAGTCGGTTAATAGTTACAGTTTGCATACCAATAGAGATACAGGAGTTTTTCACTTTAGGAGCGTATTCTAAAAATAAAATAAAAAGCTGGGCTTTTTTTCATTTTGAAAAAGGCTTTAGAAACCTATTTTATGGTTTTGTGAAGCAAGTTTTTAAACATTACTTTTCTTAAAGTTTCAGACGCTATACAAGATTGAGTATGTTAATCATTAAAAAGGCAACTATGCTATAAAACTGACCTCTGAGGCAACCAAACTCTCTTCTCCAATAAATGTTTCATATTGTTTTCAAAGTACATAAGCACGTTACTTATATCACCAGCATTTTTAAATAAAATCAAGTATCTAAAAATCTCTGAATTGAAAAAAAGGAAGCAAAATAGTTTTTCAGGTGTAGTTTTACTATATCATTAGGGGATTTTGAGGCATTCCTTTGCTGCCCAAAAGAATTCAGAAAAGCTCAGAAGAAAACTCTCTTGAAATTCAAATCAGGCTATGTGGGGCTTAAGTATGAAATCGCGTGTTCTGTTTTGAGGATTTTATTTTTATGTTTTAATCATACTTCATAAAAATAACACATCTGCCAGAAACCTTTCAATGTAGGTTAAATGGAGATGAAACGGTATTAGCAGGAAATTTGAGAGAACGGCTAGTACTCAGTCTGGTTCTTACAAATGCTAGAAAGAGACACTTCTAAACAGTGAGCTTTTAAACATAAATTACTATGCATTATTTCCTAGCAGTCTTAAAACAACAGCGGTTTCAATACTGTTTTAGTATTGACTTTAAAACTGATAAAAGTATGAATCATTGTAGACCTTTTTAAAAATGTAGTATGTGCTGGAGCACCAATGCTCCAAGTGATAGGAATAATGATAGTGTATGAGTACTTCTTTTTTTATATACACCATGTGAGCTGAAGTACTGTAACACGTGCATAAAATCATCTTTCCAGTATTTTTAATCGCGTCACTAACAATTCTCATGTATTGCCTATTGCAGGTCAGTTACTATTTCCCACTGAAAACTTTATGGAGATCGTTTTTTGCTGCTTTAGTAGCTGCATTTGTTTTAAGGTCCATCAATCCTTTTGGTAATAGCCGCCTAGTTCTTTTTTATGTGGAATATCACACTCCTTGGTACCTTTTTGAACTGCTACCTTTTATTCTTCTGGGAGTATTTGGTGGGCTCTGGGGAGCATTTTTCATCCGAGCAAACATCGCATGGTGTCGTCGACGCAAATCTACAAAATTTGGGAAGTATCCTGTCCTGGAGGTTATTATTGTTGCAGCAATAACAGCTGTCATTGCATTTCCTAATCCATATACAAGGCTAAACACCAGTGAGCTTATTAAGGAGCTCTTCACAGACTGTGGGCCGTTAGAATCCTCCTCCCTCTGTGACTACAGAAATGACATGAATGCGAGCAAAATAGTAGATGATATTCCTGACCGTCCAGCAGGCACTGGAGTCTATTCAGCTATATGGCAATTGTGTTTAGCACTCATATTCAAAATAATCATGACAGTCTTCACCTTTGGTATCAAGGTAAGTGTGAATGTACCGGCTGCATCATCTACTGTGATTAATTATTGCCTTTCTAATTTTCCACCTTTCAAAGCTAGCAGCTTTGTTTACAGAATTTTTTTTTTGGTGTGTAGTTCTTTTAACTGTTGATTAATAAGCAGGTCTTGTAGAAAACGGTATTTAGTTTAATTAAATTCAAACTAGTCTTTGTTCAGCTGAACAGAAACGTGCTAAATTTCATAGGGAACAGTAACTGTGTGGATGGATGGCTGGTTGTACAGGCCTGATTCAGCAATAAGGATCATTCTAAAATTGCCAAGAGCTGAGTTCAGACATAACCACTCAGGTTCCCTAGTTCCCTTACATGGAAGAAGAGAAGACTGTACCTCTTGGACAACTTGAAGGGCTTTCTTTAATCCCTTCTCCTCATTTATCACATAAAGTCAATTACTGCAGACTGTCGAAGGGAGCCAGTGATGATTTCATTCCTGAAATTTCCAGTGTTGTGTGTCATGACTAGAAAGTGGGCTTCGTTCACGTGACTGTGGTGGGAATTTCTCCTCCATTAAGAAGCAGCATAATTTTTGTTTTTCCTGGTCATTTCAGAAATCTGTTTTGGAGCTCTCTTCAGCTTCTCTCCAAGCCCTGGCTATTTTCTGAATGACCTATAACTGTCATGCCTTCATCATTTCCTGTCTCGTCAGGCTCCCTTCATAGTTTTTTGTGACTACATCATTATCAAACGTATCTTAACACAAACATACTGTAGCATGTTCACTAAGCAGCATTTGGGTTTAAACTGGATTTAACTTCTCAGTCTACGTTGCTGTTCCACGTAACTGCACGCATAAGAGAACACTTCTTTACTGTGAGGGTGGTTGAACCCTTGAATAGGTTGTCTAGAGAACTCGTGGAGTCTCCATCCTTGGAGATACTCAAAACCTGACTGGGTGCAATCCCGGGCAGCCTGCTGTAGCGGACCCTGCTTAAGCAGAGGTAGACAATCTGGAGTGGTCACATCCAGCCTCAACCATTCTGTCATTCTGTAATAGAGCAATATTGAGTTGTGTTTCTCGTGTTGGTATTTTAGAAGATATTGCAGTCTTATTTGAAGTTATTTTCCATACGTTTGTTGAGGGGTAAGAGAAATCAGTTGTGTGTATTTTAAATGCTAGTCTTCATAAGTCAAAATTTCAGACATTTTTCTATAACATGACCACTGCAGTCTGTTGCGTTGTTTTGTATTCACTTCCTGGATTTCACTTACATCTACGGCTCTGCCCTTCTAAGCACTATAACATTTTTTTGTCATTCATGTGTTTGTGTGCATTTGGCTCTTTCCCATGGGGTTGTCACTGCAGGATCATACATAATGTGTTAGAATTCACCAGATTACAGAATGGTAACAGGTTACACTTCATTTGGGGTTGGTTCATTTTCTCAGAACTTCAGCATCTGCAATTTGGTGGAAGTATTTTTGTGAAGGCGTAAGCTTGTATTTATTACTTTTAGGCAAGGAGTCATGCTGCTCTCATTGATGGGACTGTTACATACATTTCTCTGAGTCTTCAAAGCATATGGCTGGTTAGAACGTCATCCAGTAATTGGAGAAGGGGATGTCACTTTAATGTTATATTTATTTGCATTTTTAGCTTTATTTCTGTGAGGGGGGGGGGGGGGGAAAGAAAATTTAAAATGTTTTAAAAAATTTTTAAAAGACGACTTTCTGATTTAAATCATTATTAAGGATTCTCTGGGTTCTCTGGGCCTGTTCCTAGAGCTGAAGCCGTGTGCAAACACACATCTCCCCCACAGGAACTATTTGTCTGTGAGATAAGCAAATCAACTTAACTGCTGCCTGTGGGGCGTGGTGATTCCTGCTGCTCTTATTGCCATTAACAAGGATCACCAGGAAGCTGATATGGCAGTGGTTTGGTTTTTATTTGGGGGGTGTGTGTGTGTGTGTGTTTTGTTTTGTTTTTTTTCAGGCTTTTATATGTATGCTCTGCTGTTTATTACCAGTAGACTCGTTATTGTATCTAAATGCTGATGATCAGCAATTGGGATGGGATTACAGCTTTGCCTCAGAAGCTCACTGGTATGCATCTGCACTACCAAAGAAGTGGAAAGTTGCACCCATATACTGATTTCTTGCTTGTTTCAAAGATGGTACATGTGCCACAGAACAAGTCTTTTGTCTTTTCCTCTGTAGTATAACTTGAGTTAGGCTGGCCTGCACTGGAGAAGAAAGTTGAGACAAGGTAGAACGTAACTTTTTTTCCTCGCTCCTTCTCAGTGAAGGTTCTTCTTCACCTTGTGACTTGTGATTCAGAGGCTTATGCAAACAAATGCATCTGTAAAATCATAATTACAGTTAGACTTGTAACCATTTTCCATGCAATGGAAGTAAGAGGAGCTAGAGGCATAAAAAAAAATTAGGTTAACAAATGACCAGAAACAATTTGGATGCAATTTCCATATGGAGACTGAATTTCTGTGGCATACTGCTGTAGTGGTCTTGAATCTGAGGCAGTTTCAAAGATGTATTCAATTACTTTTATATCTGAAATGTTATTTTTTCAGGGTGCTATTGAACTGTTTACCATGAAAGAATTTCACCTAGGAAATAAAAAAAAAAATATTTCAACAGATAGAAAGGTGTTTAGATGCAGGATTAATTGTGGGAAATAACAGTAGTGGTGTAAGTGTACAATTTGGATATTCCACTAAAACAATAGCATTGACTAGTTACCTCTCTCAACATTGAAATACTAGGTAATTCAGAATGAGAACGAAGGATTATTAAACTTTTCCCCTAAAACCTATGCTGCTGGCTTTCAAACACAAAGTTTGCTATGTTCGTTTGCCCTTCGTTTGTCTGTTAAAAATCATGTTTGCAACCACAAGCATTGGCAGTGTAATAATAATGCAAATAGATTCTGAAATACAGTTTGGTACCAGCTATGGGATTCCATGGCAAAATCTATAATTTGGAATTGTACAATATTTAAATTTTACAGCTGTACAGCAGAGAAAAATTACATTATGTGCCAGCATAATTGTACAGCAGCAGTACAATTTTATTAATAAGTTATTTTGACAAGATGGGTTTAGGTGCATTTAGACAAGAAGTAAAAATTCTACTACTTATTTGTAGTCAGATCTGTACCTCAGTCACAGTAGAAGATATTTTGATACTGACAACTGCTGTGAGGAGAAGTGGGCATTTCCAGTTTAATGAGACATTTAGACACCAATATGTTTTTTTGAAAGAAGATTAGCTTCCTAAGGAGGAGAAAAGGTACACAACAGCAGTTTCTCGGCTGAATCCTCACTTTTTATGAAGCTGCTGAAAGCAAGACTTGCAATAATATTTTAATGAGCAATGTTGGTATGACAAGGCTGTGTGGCCTTTTCAAGTTTTAGTCAATAACAGAAAAATGGTTTAAATAACTAAAATTACAGTAGAAACTTCTTTTTTTTACAGTAATATGTTCTCTACTTTTTGCAGTTGCAGTTGTCCTGCCTTTTTCTCTCTTAGTATATTTAGCATTCTATATACACTCACTTGTATAGGGAGCTGCAATATAATAAGCAAAGCTTCTTTTTAAAATCACTTATTTAGTTGGCCATCTAATTTATAGCAGTGTTAGGAAGCAGTCTGGGAAGTCAGTCCTAAGTGCAAAGCTTGTTTAGTAAGTGAATGTTGACTCAGAGAAACATGAAGTAGTAAAGGAGGTGGGAAATAGTAAGGAAGACTTCTCAGTACTAGTAGCACAGCTCAGATTGGACACACATATGGTAAGAATTGTGCTGTTGGCACCGAGAGTCTAGTTTGTGGTCCTGTGTTGGTAATAGATTTGCTCTTAAATACAGTAAAATATAAATAAACGTGCTCATAAAATGGATGCAACTAACCAGGTTGATCAGAGGTATCAACAGCACTGTGTTAAGTTTCACTGACCTTGCAAAGTCAGTTTACATGGTTTTAACATGACGATTTGAGCATTTGCATCTCTCTTGGAAAAAAAAAACAAACCAAAACAACAAATTTGTATAGCAATGCATCACGTATGTTCCCGTCAGCCTGACAGCAGTTCTTCTGGTTTTGTTGCAGGTTCCATCTGGGTTGTTCATACCTAGTATGGCAATTGGAGCAATAGCAGGAAGGATTGTAGGAATTGCAGTGGAGCAGCTGGCTTACTACCATCATGACTGGTTCATTTTCAAGGAGTGGTGTGAAGTTGGAGCTGACTGTATTACACCTGGTCTTTATGCCATGGTTGGTGCTGCTGCGTGCTTAGGTAAATAACCTGTAACAAAGTAAATAAGTATCTGATTTCTTGTATGTTGCCAAAATAATGATGAAAAAGTAAAAGGAGAGGTAAGTGTGTTTAGTTTGGGAACATCTTTTTATATGGACTTCTCTCTTTTCAGAGTAATCCATTCACTGACTCTACATGAGACAGTCAGATCCTTCTGATCTGAGGAATAACACGTGAAATTTAAATTTATGAGAAACAGAAGAATTTAAATAGTAGTGTTCGCTTTCTCTTTTTGGTATCGAGAAGTGTCATTACCATATCAGTCAGAAAAATCAGTTTCTTGAAATGTATGAACTAGAGGATTTGCAGAGTCAAGTACTGTTGAAATTATTACAAGGAGGTGACGTGATCAGCTGCCACATCTACATGAATTGCAAAAAAGTGCTTGAAATTCATAATCCAAACAAAACTTTCGGAAGTGTCTAATGATTTGGGGAGACCAGCTTTTGAGGTATTTTAACAAGTTCTGATTTACAAACTGTTGAAAATCAGCTTCATGACAAGAGGCTTAAGTTGGGCACATAAGCTCGGAGAGGCTTTTTGAAGGCTTTGTCTTGTCCTAGTTTATAACTTCACTGCCTTAGAAATTAAACGTAAAAGCTATCGGTACGGATTCTGCAAAAAGTAGACCTTTTCTTTAAGGGAAAAGTGCATTTGAGCGATCAAGTAAACTAGTGGTACGAATTTAGTTTTTGGAGAGGTGGTTTTGGTTTTTAATAGTTCAACTTGAATCGCTTTTGAAAAGCACTGAAAGAGAGATCATATTCTTTTATAGAATGAGAATGTGGCATCAGAAACCTTGGCAGAAAAACCATTGTGAATACTAACAAAAGAGAAATATAATCCCTGCCTTCTCCTGTTGTCCAAGAAAGAGATTTCTTTTCATCAGCTCAGAGTTCTCTTCAGCTTTTATGATTCAGCAACAGCATTAAATTCCTAATCCTATGGACAACACAGCTGCTGAATTGCTACCTGTGACTTCCTTGCAGTAGTTTATTCTTTTTCCACATCCTTATCTTACTGGACTTCCTTGCATTTCACCGTATTTTTAAACTAGGTGTGGCATGGAGAAATACACAGTTTTCTTCTTAGTTTACATGAAATAACTGCACATATTTTTCAAATCCCTTTATTCTCTCACTTTCTAGGAATCTTCCCTGAAGCTCTCTTTTTGACTTCTAGAAGTACTGTATTCATTTTTCCCATCCGCTTCTGTTTGTGTTATACAGAAAGATGTTTGTCAGGTGACCTTTAATGGCAAAGTTACGTTTGTGGTTCTCAACGGGAAGGCAGGAAATTCTAAATTCATTCTTATGCAATACGAGAATGTTAATGGCTACCATCTTTCTTGCAGGTGGCGTGACAAGGATGACTGTGTCCCTGGTAGTTATTGTCTTTGAGCTAACAGGAGGGCTGGAATATATTGTGCCCTTAATGGCTGCAGTCATGACCAGTAAGTGGGTAGGAGATGCCTTTGGTAGGGAAGGCATCTATGAGGCACACATCCGACTGAATGGATATCCTTTCTTGGATGCAAAGGAAGAATTTACTCACACGACACTGGCGGCTGATGTTATGAGACCTCGAAGAAGCGACCCACCGCTAGCAGTTCTGACGCAGGATAACATGACAGTTGAAGACATAGAAAACTTGATCAATGAAACCAGCTATAATGGTTTTCCTGTTATTATGTCAAAAGAATCGCAGAGACTAGTGGGCTTTGCTCTAAGAAGAGATTTAACTATTGCAATAGGTAATTATCTTCCAGCATGGCATGATTATATCTGCCCATTTAAGTGATTTACAGATTAAACCAGAATTTACTCTTGTGTGTTTCTAGACTTATTTCAGGTTCAGATACCTCGTGAAGACTCTTCCTTTTTTGAAGTATATGATTATCTTCAATGGCCCACTCTGAAATGGAGAAAATGTTAATGTGTCTGTCATAAAAACAAAAATTGTCATGCTGAAGTAGGCCAAAACGTCATCTGGTCCAGCATTTTTGTTTGTTTTGAGGCTTTTGATAGTATCTCTTTCCTCATTCGACGCTTCACTAACATTCTCCTTCAAAACTGAGTAATTCTGATTTTGGAACAGCAGGATTCTGTGAGAATTACTGTCCAAGTAATTTTTAAATTTAAATATATATCATACTTTTCTCTGACATGTTTTTTACTGTTGTTACAACAACTAAGATTGTATCATGGAGAGATAAGTGAAATATTAATCGGTTTAGGTTTCTGTTTTTCAATTTGTTTGTGTGATGGGAAATTTGGCCCTGGGCACATGAGCACACAAGCCCTGCTTGGGCCCTCTTTCTCTGGGTGAGTATTAGAACTTCCGTGATACTTGTGACAATGCTTCGTGCACTGGTAAGAAAAATTCTAAGGATTTTGAGGACACTGTCATAACCAAAAGAAAAAAAATCCTTGTTATGTAAGAAAATGTTACAGAACTGTAACATTTGGTGCGTGAAATCAGTGATGGAAGTTTCATCTTTAACTGCCTTTTTTGTTTTGTTCTTCGTAAGATTGTGCATTGACAAGTATCTCTTTTAACAAAGACACTTGAGAAAGAGACACAGAAGTCTCCTGAAACTTTGTAAAAAAAGAGTTTTGTGAATGTGGTCTTAGTACTGTGTATACTACGGTATTACACTTTGTAGGATGTTCAGGAGTGTCCAAAATTTAGAAACTATTGCAGACATCATACTGGTTTAAGTTTGCATTTACTTAAGAGTAAATGAGAGATTAGCAAAGCATTCTTCTAATAATACACTTTCAGGGGTGAAACTCATCTCAGCTGCTGAGATTACACAGTGCAAGTCCCTTAGTCTTGGGTTTTTGACTGGTTTAAGAGAGTCATTGTCTAAAATAGCTCAGGGCACGGGCGTGTGCCTGGGGGGAAATGAGGTTGTCACCAAGGTAGTAAAGACCTGAAAAGGAAGAGGATCCAGTTCACAGAAAGCTAAATAAATTCATTATAAACAAGAAGACAACATTTTCAGAGTGATCAGAAATGAGTTCTTTGGTTTCAAACCAACAATAATTACAGCCACTGGAATCATGACAGGGGAGCTGTCAACTGAGATTGGCTTTCCTCTTGACAGTTTCTTCAGCAGCCATATATGTGTTTCCTGCATGTTATTTCTTTGAGTCTTTCCACCTCTTCATAGTAAATGAAAGTTATTTATTGGAGCGAGAAAGGTCGTAGCTGAAGAATGGCTAAAGCTGTTATGGTAGATGACTTTTGTGATTTCTGCACAAGCACTTCTTAGGGACAAAGCAGTGGCTGTGGAAACACATCAAAATAGCATCTATCAGAATATCGGCGTCTAGAGAATAACGTCAGAATCTGGTAGTGTTGATTGAGCTGTCTGTTTGCACTCAATTATCTTACTCGGAGAATGTAAATTCTTCTTCCTCTGCTATTTCCCACACCCCCCAACCCCTCTTTTTCTTAAAGAAAGTGCTAGGAAGAAGCAGGAAGGAATTGTTGGCAGTTCCAGGGTCTGTTTTGCCCAGCATACCCCATCGCTTCCAGCAGAAAGCCCTCGACCTTTGAAGCTCAGAAGCATACTTGATATGAGCCCTTTCACCGTGACAGACCACACCCCGATGGAAATAGTGGTGGATATTTTCCGGAAGCTGGGTCTGAGGCAGTGCCTTGTAACACACAACGGGTGAGTAGAGTGGCAGCAATGCTGTTCATTTTGTTAGCTAGAGTGATTTTCACTTCCAGGATCAGAGTATCTGAACCAGGATACATTCCAGGAGCGTGGTATTTGAACTCATAAGTTTGGTACTGCAACCGAGGACCCTAACTGTTTGTTAAGAAGGTGCTGTGCTGCGGCACCTCTCTTAAATTCTTACTCCTCCCTTGTATTCCACGTAAGCCGCCAGGGGATTTCAGTCATTTCAAGATGTTCTGTTAAAAATTGGCTCTCGTTCAGCAAGTCTTGTGTGTGCAGCTTGCATGTGGAGAAGACACGACTTGTCTCGCAGAAATTTAATCTCGCGTGGTGCGCAGTCCAAGGCCTGTATTTCTTCCTGGCAATGTGCAGTGTATCAGCTACTGAATGTCTGCAGATATCTGGGATCATAAAAAGCGAGGGAGAAAATGATCCAGTCAATACCTCCTCTTCTGAAGCTTAGTGATGGCAATTACCACCAAGCTCTTGTTTTCGGAATACTAACAACTAAATAATTGCTACTAGTTCTGGAACTTCAATCTGCAACTTTTGTTTCTGTTTCAAAATCTTTCAAGAAAGTAATTTTTAAAGATTTAGAATGTTTGTAAGTGAGACTATAGGGAGTTGTCATGTGATTACCCACTAAAATCAGCCCTAGGCACGAAAACATAAATGTTCATTTTAATTACCTCTTATCTAAACTCCTCCTTTTTTATCCATGATCTTTTTCTGTGTAGTTGTTCCTTTAACATTCTGCTTTCCTCTATCTTTTGTGTTTTGACACACAACATTGCAGCTCCTACCATGGTATCTTGCTTCCTCTTTAGCATGTCTTTTAAGGCAGCTGGGGAGTGAAACATGGTCTGCTAATCCATGTTGTTTAGGATCAATGCCATGAGATAAAACCCAACAAACCTGGGATATGGGTGGGACTTTCTTTTGATGTGGTCAAAAGGACTGCTGCTGTAAGTGGCAAATACTCAAATATCACAGATTTCCAAGTTGTGGGGTTTGTTTTTTTTTTTTTTGGATATATTTTAAAACAAATTTATTATAACTGTTCTCCTGGGTTTTTTTGTTGTTTTTTTTTTTTTTCTTCAGTGCATCCCTGTATTGAATGGCAAGTAGATGTTTTCAGAAGCATGAATGACTTTAAAAACCTTTCTCTGTTGGGGAAAGGACACCATGATCTGACACTTACAAGTCGGTGCAGGCATGCAGTTGTTCTTGTTTTGGGGAGGGAAATTTGAATTGATAAAACTTCAATGAAGAATATTGACTATGACGATTTTTTTTCTTAGTTTCTGTTGTAGTTGAGTGCTCAAACATTGACATTGATGTTAAAATCAACTTGTCATGGTTTAACCCCAGCCAGCAACTAAGCACCGTGCAGCTGCTCGCTTGCTCCCCCGCTCTCCCCTTTCCCAGCGGAATGGGTAGGAGAATCAAAAAAAAAAAAAAAAAGTAAAACTCGTGGGTCGAGAGAAGAATGGTTTAATAGCTAAAATAAAGTAACAACAACAATAATAAAATATAATAATAATAGTAATGCAAAGGAATATTAAACAAGAGAGGGAAACAAAGCCCCAGAAAAGGCAAGTGATGCAGAGGGCAGTGGCTCCCCACCTGCTGAGTGATGCCCCAGCAGCGACCTGCCCCTCCCGGCCCACTCCCCCCGGTTCATGTGCTGAGCCCGATGCTCCGTGGGGTGGAACAGCCCTTTGGCCACTGCGGGTCAGCTCTCCTGGCCACGCTCCCCCCCAGCTCCTTGTGCACCTGCTGGCTGGCAGAGCAGGGGAAACTGCAAAGCCTTGATTTAGGATGAGCGCTACTTAGCAACGACTAAAACATCAGCGTGTGATCAACACGATTCGCAGGCTAAATCCAAAACACAGCACTGTACCAGCTACTAGGAAGAAAACTAACTCGATCCTAGCCTAAACCAGGACACGACTCTAAAGCAAGCTTAATTGTGCGGAGCTGTGTCAAACTGTACTATACATTTTTCACTATTTTATGATAAAGGAGCAGCAAGTATGGATGGCTTTAATAATTTGCTGTTTTCAGACATGCATATTCGCTGTCCTGCTTCAATTTACAAAGTGGTGATGTTCCATCAGCACCCTGTCCATTACAACAAGTTCAGATAGTACATACTAGTATTTCGCCATGGTATATAGCCATGTGGACATCAAGGACTAATCTATATTTTGGCAAATTTTCTGCAAATTGAATATACCCACATAAAGGCACACATCACCTTACTGGTCCCAATCCAGGTTGGAACGGGAAGCATGCAGAAATCGGTGCTGATGACAAACATAGAGATATATAAAGACAACCTCACTCTTCCTAATTTGTAGCAGAACATCCATTCCAGGGAGTTGCTCTTGATTTTTACTGTCATGAACGAGAAATTTGTCTGAATTTGTCTGTTTCTAGGGTCATCAGATAACCCTGCTCTGTAGTGCAGTGTCAAATCTCAGTTGCTGTGGCTTTACACAGTTATTACTTTGTTCATCTAGTGTGGCTTGTGAATAATTATTTTTATGTGTGAGGAGAAATAACTATTAAAGGAAATAAAGTAGATTTTAGCTTCAGTGTCTCTAAAACCTGAAAAGGTGTGGATGAGCAGGGAAGAAGTATGCTTCTCTGATGTGTATTTGATATGAGAAACATACTGCTCTGGGGTGGTTGAAGATCCAATCGTGTTCAGCATTTTTGGAGAAAAAGAAAAAAGACAATGTCTGGGAAAGGGTACTGACTTTCAAATAGCTTTTCATTTAATTATCTCATTAGCTTTCCTGCAACCATTCCTTCTTTTTTCTTTTCCTTTTCTCTTTTTTTTTTTTTTTTTCCTGTTTCGCTCTAATCCTTTTTCATTATGATTAGAACTTTTTTTTAATTTGATTTCACACACAGTTATTAGCATAACATGATCTGTTTCAGGATTGTCTTGGGGATCATCACAAAGAAGAACATATTAGAGCATCTCGAGCAACTAAAGCAGCACGTCGAACCCTTGGTGATTAGATATATCAGATCTCATAATTAGACACATTAGAAGTCAGGAAGCATGAAACTTGTGAACTGTTCAGGGCTTTTATGACATCGGCTGAACAACGAAATCATCCTACGCTAAAAATTTGTATTAAACCATAAAACAATATGTGCAAAATCCTTTTGTAGAAATGAAGCTGTTAACGTGGACATACTGTTAGTCACAACATTAGAGGAAAGTAAACAATGGACTTTCTGATATTTTTGTTCTTGAGATCACACAGATCAATCTAGTTGGTCTGCTGATTTCCCCAGGTGGGAAAGCACGCAGCTAGGAATACTTTTTCCCTGCCAAATGCAAATTAAGATTTTCGTACATGCCAATTTCTTTCTCTGATCTTGACAGCTTTAAATAGCTGTTAAAATAGCAAAGTAAGTATCGTGTCTTTTGAGAAGCAAAGCCAAGCATATATTTAATGTATCGCATCAGACCTTCCCTCTAATCCCCCCCTATCGACATGATTTTTTAAAAGTACTCTTGTTTTTAGTCAACTCCTGTGATTCTGCTGTTACCTACAGCAATTAAGGTACTCCTTTATAAAATGCTCAGTGATACCCTAAGCCACTCAGTGGCATGCTACTACAGTGACTCTTGACTTCAGAACGTAGACGCTGTTTTAACCATGATGTTGTGAACTAACCTTAGATAGACAGCAGACTTTTCTCTTAATTCGGACATGGGTTGCTAGTTACATCCCTATTAAACATACCCACCAAGTTTAGCTGCTTCTGTTCAAAACGTGCTAATTATGTTCTCATTTTATGCTAATATTTCACAAGTATTTCATGCGTCCTTTAATAAGACAAAACGAAATGTACTAACCAGAATAACAAGGGCAGCAGCTCATTCATTCTGCTCTTTGCTTCTCCTGTGATATTATCCTTTTGGACAGCCTCACCATTTTTGGTATTTCACCGCGTTATAATTTTAAAAGCCATGAAGACCCTGCCATAAGAGCACGGTATCTAAATTGGAAAAAGGAAAATTTTCTGTTACTATTTGCAATTTATTTTCCGAAGCTGTGACCTCCAAAACCTAGCTGATTGTTCTTTATTTTACAAAGGTTTCACGGCCAATACGGTGCGCTCCTATGACTACGTTCAGCCTGAGCCAGTGCGTCAGACTGGAAGGATCTTTATGATTTAAAAATTGAGGGAAGGGGAGTTTGATTTGCTGTTAGGATTTTGGGCCATCAGGCGGTACGTCACTTCTGATGGCTAGGTTGGAACGTGCCTCCCTTATGAAACGGGATCAATATCACTTCTTTTTCATACCTCTTTTTTGCTTTGTCCCTCTTTGTTACTTTTTTGTTGGCACACGCTAATCGAAATTTCATTTCCGTAGAAACAAAAAGTTAAATACAAACTGTCACGGGCTCTACTTGTATTACTTGTATTGCATTAAACTGGACTACAGCTGTCAGAGACCATCTGATATGGTGTCTCAGCATTGCTGTCTTTTAACAAACGGGTGGTTCCTCAGTATTTTGATTAATAAAGTGGTTTTGTTTAAATCAGAAAATCAGGCTGTTTACTTTTGCTCTACTCCTGTCAACAAAAAGGACTTGGCTACAGATTTGTGCTGTTTTCTCATCTTCCTGCTCGGATTAATATCGATCTCCCGTTTATCCTTTTCAGGCGCCTCCTTGGCATTATAACAAAAAAAGATATCCTCCGTCATATGGCCCAGACGGCAAACCAAGACCCCGCCTCAATAATGTTCAACTGAGACCCATAGCTGAGGAGAGAGAGGAAACGGAAGAGGAGGTTCATTTGTTGAATAGCACAACACTTTAGTCTGGGGGAACACTTGTAAAACCCGAGGGCGAGAGCTGGGTTTTCGCGTAGCAGCGCTGCTGGAAATGGGGGGGGGGGGCCGGTCTGGGGGAGCGTGCGGCGAGGCGGTCGGGCTGGGGGGAGGGCAGGGAGGGCGAGCTGCTGGCCTGCACTGGATGCGTCCCGAGGCGTCAGGTCTGCCATGATAGTGCAGTGGGGGGGGAGCTGGGCGAGGCGCCGCGGTTCGACCAGCCCCGGCCTGGTGCTTCAGCCCCGAGGAGACGTGTTGCCAGTCCCTGTTTCGGGGGGGGGGGGGGTGGGGGTGGGTGTGTGTGTGGAATCATCGTCCAGGATTGAGCCATCTTGCGGAGACTGAGAGGTCTTGCCCTTTTTGCCATTGAGAACTGTTGTGTTAACTCACGAAACGTATTCATCGTTACACGCCGCCTTTCTACATTCCAGAAGAGCTTTATTTCTCTCTCTCCTGAGCCGTAACAAAGCCTCTTTGAAATCGGCGTGCCCTTCCCAAGCAGTTGTTTCTCATATTGAGATGTACTGCGAGTTACCGAGGTTCGATCGCAAGAAGGGGGGGGGGTTTTTCCTTGTGCCATTAAGCGTGTGGGTTTGTACATCGTGAAGTGGTTGGGGCAGAACGGGGCCACGGCGACAGAAGCAGGTTGAACAGGTAATGCCTCGCAAGAACCACGCGGGACTTCTTTCAGCCCCTGTGCTGGCGCGACGCGGGGGAAAAACTACAACCGGATGAAACGAGCGTTTCAAAGGAAAATACTGGTTTTGCTGCAGAAAATATCAATAATGTGACCTGGTCTTATGCAATTTTTGTATTATTGAAAACACTATGATATATACCAATGTTGTGCAGTATAAGGAAAAATACTGCTATTCTACTAGTTAAGAGCTGGAACAATTCTGTATATGTGTATCTGGTAAAAATTGCATGCGACAACACTGGAGATCTCTTTTTTCCCCCCCTGTAAAATTTGAGAACGGTCGTTTTTCTTTTTTCTTCTCCACAAAAGACGTTCCACTGCTGACATGGTAGGAAGAAATGTAACTCATAACTTGCACTAAATGTATATTATTTTTCTTGAAGTTTTACCATTCTTTATTTATATTTGTATGGATTTAAAAAAAATATAATCTATTAAATATGAATCAGTTAATATCTCACATAACTAATTACCTTTTTAATGTGATTTTATAGAATAATTCATAATCCTCTGCAAGTAATGGAGGATTAGCAAATGTTTACAACTAGATGAAGGGTTTAAACAAAATGGTTTCTTTATGATCCAACGTGCATCTAAGATCATTTTCAAATGTAACTCACTGCCGTTACCTTGAGATTTCCTTTTTCCTTTACTAGCAGATAACTGGAACAGTAATAATAAAATTTTATTTAAAAAAAAAAAAAACTGCAGGGTTTTACAAACAATAGGAAGAAAGCAACTGTAACTATTAGATTGCTTTTGACTTTTTTTTTTCTTTTTTTTTTTTTTTTCCGCCAAGTATACAGAGGTGTAAATGATTTGTAGCCACAGAAGATGAGCAGCAGGGCAGAATCAAATCCAGTACTTGAAACTTTGGCAGGACCATAAAATTGAGCACCAACACATGCTAGCAGGTGAACTAACAGATCCCTAACTTCTTCAGTTTTTTTCTTTCCAGTCGCTAGATTAAGTTGTTTCATATTCCTTTTATCAAGCCACCACAAACACATGCAGAGGAAAAAAGGCGATATGTTATAAGCCTGATGTAGGGAGGAAAAAAAATTAAGAAATCTGGCTGACAAAAAAATCACGCTTTATAATACGGGGTAAGATAAACTTTCCTTCTTTTAACAATTATGCCCACAAGACTGCAAAAATATAACTGGTAAAAGTCTAAAATAATAACCTGAGATATCTCTGAGGCATTCATCGCAGTTACCTCAAATGTCTTTACTCACAACATACTCGGTATGATTTTATCTTAAGTTCAGAAACATACTGAACCAAAATTCTGGTACTTTTGGTAAGCTCCAAAACATATGCCTGTGCTTAAGCACGCTGCTGAGCTTTTACTGATTTTCCTGAGCGTAGAACCGCTCTCTACGTCTCATCATCTCATCTCTCGCAGCAACTGGAACCACTAGAAAGCAAAATGTGCCAGGGGGCTCGTGGTGATCAGCCCCTGTGTGAAACAGGTTTGGAACTGAAACCGGGAATCGGGCTGTGTTAAAACGGGAGTGTTGCAGCAGGCAGCTGCAGCCTCCCACGGGAAGTCGGTGCTCGTGGTTGAAAATCTGTTGTTACGTTGCCTGAGCCTGAAGAAACTTTACAGAAAGAGCAGGATTTGGCCCGTTTAGAGAAGGCAGCTCTGGAAGTTGTTTGTGGTGCTGATTCGTGTTGTCTTAACTTTTTCCTAGAGTGGAAGAATATAAATGCACTACATGTATGAAAATTGCTTTAAATCAGTTTGAAGCCTCTGCCATGTCTCATGTTCTCATAAAACACCGCTGTGTGTACTGTATTAACTTGCACCTAATTCTGCAGACTGTCCTCTCTGAGTTAAAATACAGTTCACACACCTACTGTGTTTTAGAATTTCAGTATGGATCCCGAGTGCGGCATATAAATTGTGCATCTGTTTGCTCTTGCCTGCTATGCTGTTCCTGTTGACATTTAAAATGTCTTCTGGTAAACACACACGAGAGGTTCTGATGACGAAGTGTGCGTGCCTGTGCTGTGCAACAAAAATTTTCTAAGGTAAAACTTCTAGCGCCTTACTCAATAATTCGAAAAAAAATTGTGGTGGATGGGAGGGGGAAAGTGTCAGCATTTTTTTTTTAAAACCATTCAGTTACTGGTTCATGAAGAATGCATTCTTTGTTAATCTGTGATGTTGCCTAGAGCTGTATTTAATATTGATCTCAATGTTTTTATTTATAATAGTGTGGTAGAGCTGCATATCATTACAGTAAAAATTCTGATTACTGTGATGATTTAATCAAACATTAAAAACTTCTGTATGACCATTTATTGTTCTGTCATGTTTTCTCATTGTTTTCACAAACATTAGTGTTGATTTTTAAATTTATTTTCCCTGAGAGAACATTAACAGGTATTTTACCTACAAAACTAGTAAGTAGATAACAAAGAAAATAATTAATTTTAGGAGATGTAGTCTTTGTATTGCCTAGCATTTAGCTACACATCAGTAGCCAGGCCAACCCAATCAAACAGATTAGTATGCTTTTTGGTTTTTCTTTTTTTTCCAAAATAGACACTTTCAAAAATTGTTTTAATTGTAGAATAGTTAGCTTCCTGATTTAAGAGTTAAAACTGAATGATGCTTTTACTGTCTGAAAAACAGAATGATGTAGTATCTACACAGTAAATTTTTAGTACCTCTGGTTTTAAAAAAAAGTGCTAAGTTAGACATCTGTTGATAGAATAGTTCATGCTGTAATAGTTCACAGAATGGTTTGGGGTTGGAAGGGACCTTAAAGACCATCTAGTTCCACCCCCCTGCCCCAGGCAGGGCCCCCTTCCCCCAGCCCAGGGGGCTCCCAGCCCCGTCCAACCTGGCCTTGAACCCTTCCAGGGAGGGGGCAGCCACAGCTGCTCTGGGCACCCTGGGCCAGCGCCTCACCCCCCGCACAGGGAAGGATTTCTGCCTTACACCTCATCTAAATCTGCCCTCTGTTTAAAACTAGTAACCCTCCTCCTATTGCTACAGGCCTTACTAAAAACTCTGTCCCCAATTTAATGTTGTACAGCACTTCAGTATTTTTTCAGTTGGTATTACAGTTTTCCTTCTAAATAAGAGGTTAATAGACAATACTGAGCAGTCCCTACTATGGTCCCCATTTTTGTAGATGAAAATTCATATTTAAATAACAATGCAAGAGGTGAGTACTTCTTTTGTTACTTGTATGATTTACAGGGCATTAATATGAAGGTTTCTTCTGCTCGGAATGTTAAAAGTAAGGGGGAATGAGCCTGAATTTTCAAACAAGTGTATGTTTTTTATCTGTAAACCACAAAATGCTGTGCCTGTGAGAAAGTCCATGTATGCTTCTGCATACGTTTGACTAAATGGAACATTTATGTGCTGAGTGAAAGGGGTGGGTTTACTCTTGTCATTTAAAACTCAAGATACACTTTTGCAGCACTCTCCAACTTACCTTGTGAATTCTGCATCAGTTTATGCAGGAGGGGATTGTTGGGGGTACAATCCTTTGCTAAAAAGTAGGGACAACTTTGAAATTTGAGCGTGTTGCTAGTGGCCTATAATCTTCATCAGTAGTGCTGTCGTCATTAGTAAGGATGCGAACTGCTACAAGAAAAGTCAAGTCACTGACCAGTGGCAGGCCACTTGAGTAAGAGCAAATGTTACTTTCCCGTGACAGCAGTTACCCGAGAATAAAACTCTAAGTGTAGTAGCAACAAAACAAAGCATTGGACCGATGCACTTGAAAACAATTAACTTGCATCTTGTACAAAGTTACTTTCATTCTGTTTTAAAAGTCCAAATCAGCGAAAACAGGGCGTGACTTCATCTGATTTAACAAGCTAACAACTGCAGTGGAATTTCTAATTTGTCTTGTAATGCCAGTTCGCTGTTTTTTTAGTCCTGTTTGCCTCCCGTTAATTGAGCCCAATCCAGGAGCTTGAGACCAGATTTAGCACTTTATTATAACGCAAAAGGGAACGCTGCCGCCACCGAGTTTTTACGCATGTGGTGGGACAGAACCGAGAAACTGCGTAACAGCAGTAAAAACCACCCAGAGCGAGGAAATGGGAGTGAGGTCGGTGTAAATCGGCAGCCGGTCCCGACCGATCTGCACCAGCCGAGCCCCGGGCAGGTGAAATGGCGGCGGCGGCTCCTCCCGCGCCCCGCTGCTGCCTCCGAGGGCCCGGCTGCCCTCAGGCCCCGCGCGCAGAGCCCGCCCCCTGCCGGTGGGGCGGCGCCCCGGGGGCAGCCTCGCCCACTCGCGCCCGGCGGTTGCCGCGGTAGCAACACGTGACTCCTCCCCCCTTTCCCCGCCGCGCCTTACGCCTGCCTCCGCGCATGCGCACCGGGAACCTCACACACACACACACACACACCACACCCCCCCCCCCGCGGCCGGGCGCGCGCAAGCAGCACGCGCAGGCGCCTCCTTCCGTACAAAAGCTTTTACTGACCGGGGGGGCGGGCGGCGCCGCGCAGTACAAGAAAAAAAAAGCAAAAAAACAAAAAACAAAACAAACCCAAACCGATCGAACGCAGCCCCCCCCACACACCCCCCTCCCCAGCCAAAGCCCAACGGGGGCCCCGCGGCCGCGGAGCCAGGGGCGCGGCCTGGCCCCGTCCGGCGCCCGGCTCAGGGCAGGAGCTGGTCCAGGTCCTCCTGCCGCCGGCGGGCCAGGTGCGACTCGATGATCTCGGCAAAGAGGCTCCGCTTCAGCAGGGTGTACGCCAGGGGCAGCAGCTGGCCCACCGTCTTGTGGAAGTACTGCGGGCGAGGGGCGAGAGGGGAGAGGTCGGCGCGGCCCCGCTGGCACCCCCCGGGGCTCTGCCCCACTCCCCCCCGCTCCCGCCGAGCCCCGAACAGCCCCAGCACCCCAACTGCCGCAGGGCGAGAGGGAAGCCTGGGTTTAGCAGTGCGAGCGAGCTTAAGGCCCCCGTCCTGTCACAGGCCGCAGCCCGAGGGGACCAGGGCAGCGCTTACAGTAACCATTTAAATGCTTCAAATGTATACATACGTCAGAGCATATTTAGCATTTGTGATGGTCACTGCACATGTAAGCCCCTTACCCCTCTCCTGGGAAGGAGAAGAGGTTTAAAATCCTTTTCCATGTCTTGGGCTACAGGTAAAGCACCCGTGTTCCTCCCAGCTGTAAGCAGGGGGCCAGCCAGGCTCCAGCCAGAGCCAGAAAGCAGCTACAAGTATCTACAGACAACCAAAAACTCTGGGACCCAACTGCAGTGGTACTGATGTGCAACACCAGTGTTTTTCCTTTCTGTTTACTAAACTAGTAAATGAGGTGAGGTTTCTATTTTTAGAAAACAGCTGTTTCAAATGGCTGCGTAAGACACATATCAAGACATGTTACAGTATTGTAAAGACGTGTCACTGCAGGAGTCTGTCAGTGGTTAATCTCACATGCCGAGAAGCACAAAGCATGAGAGATGGGGGGCTGACCTCACCTATTTCACCAACTGGAACTAAGCGTTTCCTTCACTGCCCTTCCAGAGAGATGTAGGAAGGAATCAAGCTGCCGAGGCAGCACAGTCACTGAAGGAAGGGTCATAAGTAAGCAAGGTATCGGAGGAAAACGTAACACATCCTCAGATGTGGTAGGAAACTTAGGAGAGCAGGGCAGGGAATCTAAGAAACATTAGTAATTTAACAGTGTATGGAAAGAGCAGGGAGTTTTCCTTTGTTTCCATGGCCAATATATTTTAACTGGAGTTCAGCATAAACTTTTCTGGGCCTACATTTAGCACTGTGAGATTCTTATCTTTCCACATGATCCTCTGGAGCCCGCCACAGCCAATACTGTTTTTACTGTAAGAAACTATTTTACAGGGGCATTTCTGCGACCATCCCGTTCATATTACACTGATGCTGAAGCTTCTTTATATGTTATTTCCTAGCCATAAATTTATTACAGACATGACCATTTTCACTAATGGGGCAGTAGCTAATACAAAACAAAAAGTGTTAAGTAGAATCTTTACATTTGACTAAGTGCTAGTAAATCATCTGGCTTATTTCTGGTATTTGTTGTTAACACGGAACCAGAGACACACACCTGGGGGAGGTCTTTTATGCAGCCATACTGGCAGGGAACTGTTTTTTTCAGCTGGGGTTACCGAAAGCATCAGTCTGTCCCCTGCCCCAGTTGAGTATGAGTGCTTGTGCCCACACAAGTCATTGGGGATAGGGGGCTATAGCTATTAGGTGGATCTAGAGCAGACATTCTGCATTTTTAGGAGTCTAATGATAACTCATTGTATTATGCATGTCAAATCACAAGAGTTAAATGCTGTTTAAATGCTCCTGGATTGCAGGATTGCACTTTCAAACAAGCAGTTTTAAATTCAACATAGAATGATGCCCTAAGTGTGATTTTTTTAAAGATTTTACATTAATTTAGAATATTCTTGTAGACTTTCATGATTCCTAGGGATAATTATGCAGTAAGAGTTGGGAATAAGTATCTATAACAGAACAACTCCTGGTCCATTCATAAAAACATGCATAACTTTGTGAAGTATGATTGTTGTAGTACTCACGTGAGATCCATAGCAAAACAGGTCCATACCCAGTTCATACCCCATTCCATAGTCACACTCATCATTAGCAAACTGAACAAAGGTCAGCATCTCTTGAAGGGGTGCAAAGGCCTTCAGTCTCTCGTCATCAGTAGGGGCATCAACAATGGCCTTACAAATTTTTTTAAGATTAGCTGCAAAAAACAAGAGCAGAAATATTTGTAATTTTAAAAATAAATTTAATATTGCACAGAAGTCCTTTATGGCAAAACACACCCGTGTGTCACACTTATGTGAAGACTAAGTGGGCACACCCTGAGGTGCTGGTGGAAAGGCCTCTGCTTTTGCGTTGATGCTCATTCTTGCCCCACACCCATCCGTCTCTGTTCCCCACACAGAGACAAGCATTTCTGTCCTGAACTTGCATCAAGGAACTGATTCTGGTTAGAACAACACTGGGAGAATTGGGGGGGGGTGGGAGGGGGGTGGGGGGGGAGATAAGAAATAAACCCACAAATCCCTGAATGTATATCAGTTTTTTTGGACCTACTTCCTGCATGGCTGTGCCAATACAAAAGAGAAGGTCATCTGAACTACTACTTCAGGAATTATTATGTCAGATTTAGCATGTTCCATTGGTTCATTATCCGGTTCATTTAAAGAAAATACTTTGAGCTCAAGTATTATGATTAAGACTTCCACCTTTTACTCCCACTGCTCACATTCTTCAAGTAGGAAATACAAATGCGGTTTGGTTTTTGCAGAGTAGATGGGTGACTGAAGGTCATTTACTGAAATAAAACAGAAGGATATAGCAAACAAGATATTTACCATTTGTTTCAGGAAGTTCTCTGTACCCAACATCATTTTTGTCCACAGGAACAACTAGGCCTGCTCCATGAAATGCTTTGGTCACCACCTAAAGAAAGAGACAGGCAGTTGAAAATACAGCACTGTAAGTCACTACTGTGACACAAAATCACCTCACTACGCAACATTAACATCTGACTGCTGGTGGGCAAACTTAATACAGTGTCCAGGCTCCAGGACATCAACTTAGTTTCAAATTATACAGCAGTTATTTTTAAGTACTGAAGTTTAAAATAACTGGAAACTCAATTTCAGTCAAGTTCTGAAACCTAGGAATCCTTGTGTAGCACTGTACTACGTTCGTTTAGTCACCTCCTACCATAATTATTTCTGATAGGTATGTGAAAAACCTCTATTACTAATCCATATCATCCTTAATGGTCCTGTTTCCAGTAAATCCAACCCACCCAACTATTTACACGAGTCTTCACTTATATGTAGTTTTTTCCATGCTCCCCAATAGTCTAAAAACTAAAACAATCTCCTTGACTTTTTTTTGTTTGTTTGTTTGTTTTAATTGAATGCCAAGCTATGGCTTACAAACATAAAGTATTTCGATTTAATCCTATTATTTGGAACACATTTATATTAATCTTCCCTCTCCTGAAGTTTCATAGAGAGAGCTGATTAGCTCTGGAAATTCCTAAATGAAGCATCTTTACTGACTAGAAGGAGGAAAAACAAAAAATAAAAGAAACAGGCAGGCAAATGAAAAAAGTTTAACAGAACTTAGTTCTCTCCAGTGGATCAGGAAAGGCATACTTTCTTATCTCTCTGTTTCATCTTCATAGTTTTTTGTTCCAGGGAGTAACCCAGTTCTTTTGCTGTTCTTGTTAGTTTTTCGTCTATGTCTTTCAAAATAGCATTTATCTTTTTATCAGTCACTTCCTTAAGTTTTTTTGACAAAAATAATCTGCAAACAGAAGAAACGTGTCTTAAGAGAGCTTAACAGAAAACAAACAAAATTAATAGCTTTCTAATCACTACACCTCCAAATCTTATAATGAAGATGAGCAGTCATGGGTTTATTTATACACAGAGACTTGGGAACGCAAGCCTCTTAACAACAGAAAGGAAAAAGTTTGGCACAGACAGTACTTTGGCATCTCCTGTCTGTATCTGCATTACAATATAGTTCATGCAATCCGCAGGTGCTGAAGGTTCTCCTGGACGCTGCAGCTGCTCACCTTTCTATCTAAAGAATTCAGTTTGCTGCTTCAGTGCCGTATACGCTATCTGTCATCCAAGTCACGCACAACAGATACATAGTTAGGAGTGTCATCATGGTGCTTTCAAAAGAAATGTCCTCGTTTAACTCTGCAGTACACAGGGGGCCTTTCGCAGAAGCTACTCTCCAGCGCGCTTTCACCCGCTGACACGCGTCTGTTCTTAGAGAGTTTTCCATTTTTAACCAACAGGTGATGAAATCTGTTGTTTACGTTCATGATGCCGGGCCACGTAAAGCTTCATGAATCATACTGAATTACACACCCATACAAACATTATCCTGCCCCAGGTCAGAAACGGTACTTCTTGTAGTTATTCATCATATACAAAAATAATGTAGTTTTATGTAGGCGAGAGCACGAGCAAGATGCTACTCATTTAGTATGATATTCAGATTTCTTTCACTACTGTTTGAGATGCCCTTTCGTTACTTATGAAGTATTTTAACACACCCAGTGGACTTTTCCCTACAGAGCATATCCCCGCCAGTATATTTAAAGAATGAGATAATTAACACTTAACTATTTTACTTATAAATGGAAAACACTGTCAAGAAGCCTACTAAGGCTTTTGAAAGTACCTAAAAACTCACTAGCAAGAGCAGAAAGTAAGTGAGGGCTTCTTGAGAAAGAAAGAAAGACACGTAAGTTAGCTACAGTATTCCACATCACATCTCCTGATTAACAGTTTCTCTTCTGCTCTACCCTTTATAAATAAAAGTAAATATGAACCTTACTTGACCGCGGCAAAGACATTGTCACCAACTTGTGAAATCACACAGCCCTTCTTAGCTTCATTTGCACCAACCCACACTGGAAGCTCATCTGGCACATCCCTGTTTATGAAGAAGCACACACAAATCATGAAGCTGTGTCCCTCTCTCCTATTTCAAAGTAAAATTAATTTCCCTCCTCACCATGCTGCCATCTCCTTCAGAAACCTAACAAGAAACACCCTTAGATGTAAAGCTCTGAAATGTTCAGCCTAGCTTTGAAAGGAGCTCATATCACTACATGCAGAGAGAATACACATTCCCTTTATTTCACAAAGCTTGACTTTTCCTTGTAAGTATCATGGCAAAAGTTAAAGATTAATATGTGAAAGTGCCCTGGAGAGCTGGGGGAGGTAGTTTAATAAATATTTAAATCTAATCTTCAATATCTGTGATCTTTTTTATAAAAGATAAATCCACGTGTTAAATATCCTATTACAAAAGAGAAAGATTCTTGTTTGGTGGTAGCACACAATTCTCAAATCCTATCTCATGGGGGGGAAAAAAAAAAAAAAAAAAAAAAGGAGGAGGAGAAATAGCTACACATAATTATAGTCTAGCAAGAGTATGTATTAAATAAAATACCTGAAATATCCCATGTGAAACTGTGTTTTGCTGTCCCCAACAAGTATAGTCTGGAATTCTGGGGGATCATAAAAGAATCTCCAATGAAGATTGAAGTCTAGATCTGTTGATTTTGCCTTTTTGTGTTTTCCAGCAAGAATATCATATGGTCCAACCAGCGTAAGTCCAACACTTGACACAAGCGCATCTGAAAAGCAAAGCGTGAACTGACTTACTTTTTGGTGCATATCTAAACCAAGAAGTTCCTGTGTTGGGTATCATTAAATCCAAACAGTCAAATCCTGTATGCCAGACAAGGAAGTGGAGACATTCCTTGATTCTGATAGCTTTCGTTCAAGAGTTTGCTTTTCACACTTCTCGTAAGAAGTTGTGGCCAATGGTTCCATGTCCAGATGGAGATCAGTGATGAGTGGTGACCCTCAGGGGTCCGTAATGGAACCAGAACTGTTTGATATCTTCATCAGTAACATGGGACAGTGGGATTGAGTGCACCTTTAGGAAGTTTGCTGATGACACCAAGTCGAGCGGTGCGGTTGACATGCCCAAGAAACAGGATGCTGCCCAGAGGGAGCTGGACAAGCTTGAAAAGCAGGCCCACGTGAACCTCGTGTGGTTCAACAAGGCCAAGTGCAAGGTCCTGCTCATAGGTCAAGGCAACCCCCGGTATCCATACAGGCTGGGGAAGAAGGGATTTAGAGCAGCCCTGTGCGGAGCCGCAGACGAACGACATGCCGAGACGGGTTCAGTGTGGGAGATAGAGCATCAATCAACGTGTCTGTTTATTGGTCCAGGGTACATATATTTATACAGACAATGATAATTATTATGCCTACTAGTCACTAGCTGATTGGCTTAAGCTCTAAAGGTCGTATTCTCACGGTCCACCTACTTGCAGTTAGCTTACAGCACAAGCTTCTCATAACACTAAGTTTCTCATGCTACTATTTCTGATTCCTCTTGACTTGTTTTCGATACACGACAGTACCATAACACAATGGTTCTCAGACCACCGTTACCATAACACTAGGTTTCTCAGACCACTATTCCTAATTCCCCTTAACCTGTTTTCAACACACCACGGTACACAAGGCCGAAGCGTCCTTGACATTCCTCCTGTATCAGCAGCTGCAGGCAAACCCTAGTGAGGCCCAGCATCAGCAGCTAGAGCAGGCTCTGATCATACAATTGCTCCGTGGGCTCATGACCCTTGTCTCTGAGCCATTCTCCAACAGCCCTGCAGACTCGGGGATACTGGTGGATGAAAAGCTGGACGTGAACCAACAATGTGCACTTGCAGCCCAGGAAGCCAACTGCACCCCAGACTGCATCAAGAGAAGCGTGGCCAGCAGTTCAAGGAAGGGGATTCTCCCCCTCTACTCTGCTCTGGTGAAACTCCACCTGGAGTACTACGTCCAGCTCTGAGGCCCCCAAAGTAAGAAGGACATAAGGGCCACAAAAATGATCAGAGGGCTGGTGCACCTTTCCTATGAGGCCAGGCTGAGAGAGTTGGGGGGGTTCAGCCTGGAGAAGAGAAGGCTCCGGGGAGCCCTTCGAGCGGCCTCCCAGGGCTTAAAGGGGGCCTTATAGGATGGGGACAGACTTCCAGTGGTGTCTGTTGCGATAGGACAAGAGGTGATGGTTTTAAACTAAAAAATAGGATAGATTTAGACTAGATATAAGGAAGACATTTTTTATGATGAGGGTGGTGAAACAGTGGAACAGGTTGCCCAGAGAGGTGGTAGATGCCTCATCCCTGGAGGTGTCCAAGGCCAGGTTGGACGGGGCTCTGAGCAACCTGATACAGTTGAAGATGTCCCTGCTCGTCGCAAGAGGTTTGGACCACTTAACCTTTAAAAGTCCCCTCCAACCCAAACCATTCTATGATTCTAAAAGAAACTGTCATTTCTAGAGCACCCAGGGATGCCACATTCTGTTATGTAATAAATTTGGGGAAGCTGAAACCTGGATTGATATGAGGAAACTTCAGTTCCATACTAAACATTTTAGCTGTGCTTCAAGAAAGGCAGATTTAGACATTTAATTCCCTTTGTATTACATGACTGAAGTAATTATATTTTAGAAAGCTTGAAGCGTACAGACTTCTTTGTGATTATCTCCAGCATTCTTACTTACATATAAATATCCTGCATCTTTACTGAAAACTGAAGCAGCATTAGAATGCATCTGACCACCTCCAGTTTGCCTGCCTTCAGGCTGGTTTTGAGAGTGAAAGTTAGAAAAGGCAAAAAATATTTTAAAACCTACCACTTGGTTTCTCAGGATCTAGTTCCTCACAAAACTTCCAAAATTGATAGAAGTCTTCGGGCAGTTTAAGCCGATAGCATGTTTCTGCTTCTTGACGAAGGCTATCGGGGATATCTGCCTGATTTGACCTTCTCTTCTTGACATCTCCATTTTTCTCACACTGAAGATAAAAAAACCCATAAAGTTCATTTAGTTGCTTTCTGTCAGTTCTACTGAGGGATTTTATAAAGCTTCTGTATTAATGGAGGAACAAATGCCGATTAGAATATCTATTTTGGACAGAACCCCTTAAAAGTGCATTCTCTGAGGCCTGTGCTAAACAGGTACAAAATAGCAAGTGCTACTTCAGTAATAATGGCTCAATATAACCAACAGAAGCACTTTTATTAGTTAATCAAGCAAAGGACTAAGCAATCCCAAAGTTTAATCCAAGTTCTACATTATTTTAAAATGACCATTTCTAATCACACAGCAGCTTGCATCCAGGAAACTCGTGGGTTTTACAGACAGTTGGAGGCAGGGATACTATTTTGTTATGTTTGGTTAAATGACACAACAAGAATCCTTGAAGTCTCTACAATCTGAACCACTCCGCTATTCAAAACCCAGACTGGTGCAGCTTGCAACACAGCATTTTAAAATAAGTAGCTTAAGGTTCTTTTTAAAAAAAGATGCAACATAAATCGAAACGTGCCGGGAAATGATCCATTCAGGTGTACACACCACTCAAGCGGTAAACTCAGCGACCTCATTCACACCTAAGGCTCCAGGAATTAGTACGAATCATTACTTCCCCCCGGACTGTTTTAACGTTTAAAAAAAGAAAAAAAAAAAAAAAAAAAAAAAACCAAAAACAAAACAACCGCGGTTTCTTTTATCTTGTTGGGACAGCGCAATGAGGCAGACATTTCGCCGCCAGCCCCCGTCCCCGCCGCAGCCCCCCCGGGCGGGGTGCAGCACCCCCACCCCCGAGCAGCTCCCGTGCCAGAGACCGAGGGGCCCGGGGCTTTTCCTCGAAGCCACGGAGCGGACCCGAACGAGGGGCGGGGGGGGGCAGAGGCCCAGCGCCACGGCGAAGCATCCGCGCCCGTTCAGGCCTAGAGCTCGGGGCGGGGGGGCTGGTTACCTCAGGCCGCGGCTGCCGCCGCCGCCCCCCCCCCCCCCCCCCCAAACCCCCGCCCGCCCGCTAACGGCCACCTGCTCGCCGGCCGCCGCCGCCGCCCCGCGGGGCCTCCGCTTCCCGCCACCTGTCATGCTCCCGCCCCGCCGCTTCCGAGGTCGCGCTCCGCGCCTGCGCAGGCGGCGCGCGCCCGGCCGGCCACGCCCTCCCCCCGCAGCTCCTCCCTCCTCTCGGCGCCGCGGGCGTTTAACGGTCGTTTGGCGGGGGCGGGGAGCCGCCATCCCTGAGGGAGCGGGGTGGGGGGGGGGGGGTCTCGGGGTGCTGCTGAGGGGAGGGAGCCCCCAGCGGGGCAGAGCGCCTTCCCTTCCCCTGTCGGCACCTTCGCCGCGAGGTGAAGAAGCGCTTTTACAAGGGTAACGCAGCAGTTTGGCATCTGATCCCCCCCCCGATCAGAGCGGGCGCAGGCTGTGCGAGCCCCCGGGCAGAGCGAGCACCGCAGCGCCTGAGGGGGGAACGGAGCGACCTCGGTTCGCCCAACGGCTGCGAACGTGGCTGCGAGACCCAGTCGGGAAGGTTACAGCCATGTTTCCTCAGCGGTAGGCTAGCTCACCTCTGTATGCATTCCAGGCTGATTTTTCTACCTTAATTACACGTACTTGCAAATTCCTGTAATACAAGTTAGGACAGTATAGGGGGATGAGACAGAATTAAGAAAAAAAAAAAATTACCTGAACTAAATGCAATTTTTCCCTTCAGAGCTAAAGGCATGAGAGAGAGGGGAAGTGATACACAGGAAAAGGGGGAAAACACCCCCGCAGTCCTCTAAGCCTCTGCTTTAGCATTTGACAGCTGACTAGAATATAAAGGTGTCATCACATTATTTCTCTTCCAGTGAAAGAATCAAGGCAGCAGCGTGTAACATACAGCAAGTGGGGCACATTCCTCGGTTTAGAAAAGCACATAATCCTATTATGTAACGTCCACTCATCTAAGTATATTGCTGAAATGCTTTGCATAGGAAAAGGCCTAGATAACCAGTAGCACAGAAGGAGGTGGTGAGAAGTTGGTTATATATAATCCTTCGCTTTTTTGTTTCACTAAATCAGATTACAGTGGGTTTATTTAAAGAAGCATAATGCAGTTTAGCTACAGGAATTCTTTCTGGTATGCAGTGAATGTTCAGCAAAGATACATATATGGCATAATTTCAGAGTGATTTTTTTTTTAATCTTGCAATCCATTAAAGGGGTAAATAGTTGCTGTGGTATAGATTATTAGTTTAGGTTTAGGAATAAGCTGCAGTGCCTTTCAGCCACCTATGACATTGGCAGTTACATGACTAACACAAAATACTTGATAATTTTAAGTCTGTCTACAGCATTCACTTTTAGCTGTTACACACAGCATCGCAGGAAACTTGATCCTAACCGATGATGTTATTTCCTGTATGTAAAAACAGATAAGCACTTCATAGAAACCACAGGTTCATATCGTATAGATGCAGGACAAGCAGTGACTAAGTCTCCTTCAGCTGGAGAAATTGTTTCAATCCACATACATATGAAATTGTTTGCTTACTCAAATCCTGCACACATAGGGAAGGAATATTAAATTTCAAATCCAAACCTTGTTTAAGGGATGGATTATGTTTCATCACCTGAGGTTAAACAGAAACAATGTACAAAAGTTCACTAAGAAACCAAAACCACAATTTTCTTCCTGAAGAGTGTGAGGAGTACTGCCCTGAGGTTTACTTTGGGAAATGCTTTCTAATATTAGTCTCCATAATTTCTAGTATACCAAACCTCAGCCATCGTGGAGGCTAGACAAAATGGCACCTGAAGGCATGGCGTTTTGCTCAGCAGCTTGGTGCAAAGTGTTCTCGGTGACTTTAGAATGAAGACATACCTCCCCCACCACGACTGTCCTTTATGCACAGTAGCTTAATTTACCTTAATTCCAACCTCATGTAGCAATTCAGTTCAGTGATACCAAAGGCACCAGCATTTCCCATTTCAGCATGAAAACTAACAAATGGTAAGTTCTGTCACCTGGTACTAACTCAGGATAAGATTTTTTCGTTATTGCAAGGTGAAGTTAATTAAGGAAGTCACCTCACCTCTATACCTGTAGCTTTGCAGATGCTTGTTATGACCCCCTGTTCTTCTCTCAGTGTTAACTGAAAGAAACCCTTCACATAACCATTTTCAGTTTCACAGTTTTACTAAGGTGAAAGCAGAAGTGACATGGGAAGGATAGCCTAAGCATGCCTCATGACTTTGCCTAGAGTCTCAGGTGTATATTCATGCCACATTAGTCTTCTGCTACAAAACAAGTAAATGAAGTCATCATGAAAGCTTCTACCTTTCTTTTTTGTCACTGAAGATACAGCTCTTGTGAGCTTAATTGACCAGTCAATTTTTTTTATTGTTTTCTCCATGCAAGCTATTAAAGTCTCCAAGAGCACCTCTCTTCTAGGACAGCCTACGGTTTGGCGATAGCCCAGGAGAATAAGACACACAGTCCAGGAGGGGAAGATACTAAATCCTCTCCATTTGAGGAACTCTGTCTCACTTTCCGGGCAGGTACCCCAGCCACTAGATTATTGGATAAGAGTAGCAGTGTTTGGCTATATTAAAGATCAAATGAGCTTTAAAATGTATTTTTATGTGTATATATATCTATAGATATGTATATGTAGTACAACTCAGTTCTTTTATAGGTATCTTTCAAACAATTTTCGAATGAGTACCTCAAGAGAAATAGGTAATGAAATGCCCAGTTGCCTCATCCTATCCCATCAGGCTTGAAGTATGGGGCAGCTATCTTGGTTCCATTAAGAACATGATGGTGGTTATGTTCAGAAAACTAACTTTGCATGGCTAGAAATGTAAAAGGGGTATTTTTGAGGTTAGATGTATCTAGTCCCAGGTGGCAGCTGGTAGGATGTTTTCAGAACAGCAGTTTTCAGCTTAAGTACACACAGTTTGATAAACCCTTTCAATTGCTCTTCAGTTAAGCCTATCCTCATCAGTTCTCTGAGGTGTGGAAATGTATGGTGACACCCTACAGTCTAAGCCCTTAAAAGAGAAACTCTAGGATACTGAATCATTATTAGTGCACCACAGTAATTTTTTCCTCTCTGTAAAAAAGTGGTAACTCCATATGTGTCTATCTACCTCCAAATAATTTGTTCTCACTTCTGAAGACCTAGATTTGGAAAGCATATAATTTGATATTGGTAGTCGTATTGTCATTCAGTCTGTTAACGACCTGTAAGGCTGTAATATCCTTTGTTGTAAAAAGTCTTCCATAAGTGGCTAAAGCAGAGTTTACACTATAGTATTTTAAAGCCCCCTCCTTCAAACAAGTAAACATAGCCTCCCATGGCTGTACCATCAGACTTCTGAATCAGCATAAACAGAGATTATCTCACAAGATTAATCTGCAAAGTATCTTTACCGAGCTCTAAAGCCATCTGTATGATTAGTCCTACTCTGCACTGCGCCTAGCTTTTTTTTTTTTTTTAATTCATAACTATGCAGTAACAGATTTTGCGAGAAACCACAGAACTGGAGTCTGTTGTCTTGAAAAAGCTTTTCAAACCTGCTTTTTCAAGTGGTAAAATATGGTAAATACTTCCTGTACGTACATTTAATTTGCCCTTGAGTTCACCAAAACCTCAGGTGTCTTACCAGAAATTTTCTTCTCCTATGTCCATTTCCGAGATTATTGCTTAATGTCCAAAGTTACCAAAACTATGCCCCATGCTATGACAAAAATCTGAGTTCTTAATTTCAGCGTTTTATAGCTATTAATTAGTTAAGAAAGCCTTCATGAGTTAAAAGCCTAAGTGAAAGCTTTCTCAACTAGTAGGTACTACAAAGAAGGAAAGAAAACTTGTAGGGATGTTGAAATGCAATTTATGCTTCCTCACGGTCATTCACTGACTCATTTATGCTCACAGCTTTTCTCCAGAGTCGATTGCTTTCCTCCCACCCCTTACAAGGTTCAGATTTGCTCACCTGTAAAAAACATCACAAATAAATCAAGTTGTGCTATGCAGCTATTCTGTGCTGAGATATTCCAGAGATTTATATGTAAGGACAGAGATCTGTGAGACACAATATAGTCTAGTCAGCATTAGCAAGTTGGATAGGGTGCGATACATATGGTTCACAATCTATTTCTCCCTACCATTCAGCCTATGTAACTGAAAGGTAACAGTTTAAGTCATGCTTAGATAGTTTCAGAGTACATAGACAGCGGTGTGTGCAGTCTCCTCGTCAGTCACCACAACATACTGATGACTAAGCTATGCAGTATAATAAATATATATAAATTCTAATTTCTGTTCAGGGACTAATTTTTGCCAAAGAAGATGATACTGCATTTTTTTCTTGCCACAAGAGGGAGCCATTTAAATTCTTGTCATTAAAAAAGGCAGTTTGAAGAACGAAGACAAAAAATAAGTATCATAATGATTGACCACGTTGATGGCCTTTTGTACCATTCAATATAATTCCTTTAAAAGTAAACAGCTTGTTTCTGAACACCAGATCATTTAATCTTATTCTAAATAATGCCAGCATATGTAGCGAATGTTGGATTTTTGTGCATGTCAGCTGTCATGTTGGGGTTGTACGGAATGCAGCGCGACACAAATGCAGTGAAATTATGCTATTTTAAAATAGTTTTAACACTGCAGTTTAAGTGAAGGTCTGGTTCTTAATGAGTTGCTTTACAAAATTACCAGCCGCTTTCTCAGGTTAAGCCTCAAATAATCCTTAAATCACACAGAGACTGTTCCTTGGGTTATTAGCTTCTGCAGGGCAGCTCTATGTCTTCAGGTTCAGAGAAGGACACGTCCTCCCTTCCATCAAAAGAAGGATGAGCAGGAACTGTGGACACATTCAATGTCAAAGACAAGATTTGCCTCCAGGAGGGTGCAGTGCTGCAGCAGACTGCAAAGACACAGGGTGCCTCTGCTGAGTCATCACCTCACTGCTGCCTGTGCTGACAGGTTGTCCTGGATCCCTGCCAGCTCCCCTTGCAATTCTGCTGGGTAGGCTATATACCTCAGGATGAATGAAAGAAAAATACAGTGGGAGGAAGGGGGGGTGTGTGGAAAAAAAGTCAAGTCCCTGGAAGAAAACTCGTCAGGGTACTGCAGGACATATTTCCTGAGAAATCCTGGAGGCTTCAGGTTGCTTTGTGGTGTGAAAGTTTAAAACGGAATATGGGTGAAGATACACAGTAGTCTTGCTATGGAGGACATGAAATTAGATAAGCATTTTAGTATAGTGATTAATATTATTTTGGCATCGATCCAGTAAGCCTTGCAATAACTGCACTTGACAAGAATGGAAACTCACAGCTTGGTACTCCTGTAATCCAGCATTTTGAACCACTATTTATTTAGATCTGGCAGCTAGCAGTAGACTATGATTTTAAGGTGGTAATAGTATTTAATGGAAGCCAAAGCCTGTCTTTCTGTTTGATTTTGAATATAGGGAAACCATTCAGATCACATAAATTAGTGCTTGGAACACTAACCCCTTTATCTACGCTATTTTGCGTTTAAATTAATTGTTAGTCCTGTGATTGTACAGAAGTGCAATTTATGTAGGACCACGTGCCGTACCTACCAGTTAAGTTTAACAGGTAGCCGTAGACATAATACTGTAAGCTGCCTAGTTTACTTAGAAGCAGAGCTACATATGTTCAAAGCAGCAGCGAGGCACAGTTCAGCTGAACGTATTACCCCAGAAAGTTAAGAGTCTTCCAGTGAGAATCTACTCCTATAAGTGCCTGCTAATGTGAACACCTATCCAAAGAAGTGTTTCCCCCAACAAAAGTAGAACTGTTGAGTTAGTAAGTCTAATCCAATTTTATTTCTACTGGGATAGTTTTCTGAGCCAGGCAATCTAGATACAAGATTCATCTTTCCTGTTATGTTCTTTTGTCATTTATGGGTATTGTGTTTCTCTTCATCTGTAACTTTTCACCTTAAACCCTTCCCTGCATATGAACAAAATACAGTGTACAGATAAGGAAGAGAAAATCTATAGTCAGATGAGTGCCACTGGAGGCAAAAAAAGTAATAAAAAAAAAATCTTTGGTCTGATACATAAAAGTAGTCTAGCAGCAAGTTATTTTAATCAATATCTTCTCAGCAGAAACCCCTTGTGAGGCTATTTTAATATGAAAGAAGAATCACTTAATAAGCATGCTTGCCATCAACACAAACCCTGCATACATTGCTTTACCAACGGTAACTTTTAAGACTGTCATGTCTTTCATATTTACTTCTATTTATACACACTACTTCCCAATCTTCAGTTTCAGAACCCTGTTTTCATGGGACAGTTTCCTAACGTACAGAGCAATTCACATTCTGCTGTCACCAGATGTTAGGGTGGCAGTCAATACAAATAATGAAACAATATGTATTCACGAAGTGCTGACTGATGATGTTAACCTTTCATCTAGTACACACGCCTTGGTTTCCTCCCCCAACAGACAATGGGGTGAAGGGGTGGAAAACAGCGGCGCTGAGTCATTTTGGCTTAGGCTACAGTGAGTCTGGAGGCAAGCAACTAACTCAGTGTAATACCTTCTCTCCTTCAGGGTCTGAAGTTGTGTGAATTGATCATACTCCTATTATCTGGTCTTCAGAGACAGAGAATTGCTGGCTACAGCTGACTGACTGGCAAGACTCCTTTTGGAAGGGGGTAAATCCATTTTTGTATTTTAACATCCTGAGAGGCAGTAGTTTACATTTTCAGATAAACCACTCATAAATAATAGCCTTTGTAGTCATTACTGCTGTGAGAGTCCCTAAATCTGAGGATTTAGTGTATGGTTGAGGGTAAACAATCCAATTATATTTAGCAGCTTCTGTAAGAAACATTCCTTCTTGCCTTTTTCTGGGCACCCTGGCAACCGCAAAACATTAAAAGGAACAAAAGCTGGGTTTAACATAAATCTCAGAGGCAGCGCTGAAGTATAACATTGACTTTGGACTTGTGTTCATATTTAAGGCTCTTCCCTCAGACCCACTTGGATGTTTCCACTCCATATGGCTTCCTAGTGTAACAGTACAGCAGATTTCTGCTGTAGACTTCTGCTAGCTAGTAACACAGAACCTGGCATATTCTCACTGTGCCATTCCCAGCTAACAGCTTCAGTGCCTAGAGCATTAGCACAGTTTGTTCCCAAATAAGTTAGCCTTCTGTCTATAAGCATGGCTAATTAATTCAGGTGCAGCACTGTGCTGACACAGCTCTACTGTTTCTGATTCTGGAACCGGTCAAGTATGATGCTCACCCAGGGTTGCTACGCTCTGTCTTTGCACAGCATAGGTAGCACTGACAGTACATCCAACTCAGTTTTCTGTGATCCCATTTGCCATTCATCTGTCTTGATACTATAAGCTACCATAAACTAGTGCCACAGCAGGGAAATAGGTCTAAAGCCCTCCCCCGTGGTTACAGCATATTCAAAGACAATAGCGCTGTCTAAGGCAGGCTTACTCCCAGTGTCAGGAAACAACCCTCTTCTCATCAGGATGGTGATGGGACAAGGTAGAGCCTGGTGTCCCCCCTTGATGCAGACTTACTGAAGTCTTGGGCTTGCCACCCCTTTCACGTCAGGGCTGTCTGCCCTTAGTGCAGTAACCCAATTACCACAGACTCCACTCTGAAGTTGCAAATACGGTATGTCTAGAAGACCAGGCTTTCATGCCACAGGAAGAGACTGACATGCTTCCTGCCCTTCAAGGAGCCAACATATTTCTAATGTAGCATCAATTCTCTAGGGCCCACAGCTTTTTGTGCAGATATATAAAATACAACAGATGAGCAATTTAGACAGCCATAGCCCCAAAATACAGTGAATACTTATCTCACAATAGGATTTTGTCTTTAGCATCATCACTGTTTCCTCTTGAGATTTTGTAAAGGTAAGGTTTGTCTTGGTTGGGATGTGTTACTTTTCACAAGCCACAAATGCCCACAGCTGTTAGGGATTAAGGATATTCACGAGTATACTGAAGCTGCATTTCATCACCTACCCATAATAGTACGCCAGCTTTGTAAACCACCAACTTAATTACCAGCACGATACAAGCTTTAAGCATTTTTTTTCATAATATATTAGCGAAAATACACAGGCTTTGCCCCTGTCTTGAAATCTGATGTGACACCCTAGGGACTCCTGAGTTAACAGTTATTAGTGCCAGCTAGCTAAGATGGCTTTAAAGAAAATATGCCTCCCTGCCCCCAAGAAAACCCTACAATATTCCAAACCAAGAAAAAGCATTAAAAAAAAAAAAAATCACCAACCAACAACAAAAAAACCCAGACAAACACCACCATACAGAAAGCCAAGATCATAAAGAAACTCGAGGTATTACACAGATACAAGTCTCCACATCCAGAGAGATCAGTTTTACAGTTTAGAGGCCAACAGCTGTCTTAAGTTTATCATCAGCTCCACCCTTCACAACAAACTGCAAAAGAAGGGGAATCTTTAAGTTGCATTGGCAAAGAATTACATGGAAGCATCTCTACTCCCTTTGTGTCTTTCCTGTATTTACACCAAGAAAACTATTTGATAATTGTCCTTTTCTATTTTTTAAAAATCTCCTAATCTTAAGAACACCATACACAAAATAGCTGCAGCTCACAAGACATTTTTGTGTTATATTTAGAGTCAAATTGCTATTGTTTAGCCAAGTAACCCAGTTCTCACCACTCAGCTCCCTCATAGTTGAAGTATTTTTTTTCTGTATTTCATAGAAAAGTTAAACCAGAACTTTATCTCAATACAACCTAATACCTTTACTAATCAGTTGTTGTTTTCTCAGCAGAAAGATAGATACACCAGCTATTGTTAGACAAGCTCTCCATTCTTCTACTGCTCTCAAAGCAAAAGTGAATAAAACCTCTTATTAAATTACACATCCCAGCAGATTAAAAGAACAAACAACTCTAAATGAAAATTCTCACCATTGCAGGGCAAAAAAAATCCAAAGCACTACCAAAATCCGTGACTTTACAGAAAAAGCTATATGACTTGTTATTAACAGGCTTGTCTTCTTATATAAATACCAAGGTATCATCATTGGCTGATAGATTGCATGCTCTCAGCTGTACCTGCTCCCTGGCTATTTAACCCCTGCATTTCTGATACCAGTTTCTAGCAGGTGTAACTGGGAAAAAGGAGGTTTAAGATTTTGGGTTGTTTGGTAGGACATATCTTAAGGAATTCATAGTGCCCCCCAAAACACAGTATAACTCAACATAGTTGCTTTTTCCTGCAAAATTTCTGTATTTTTTCTTTACTTGTTCCATTTTTTTTACTTGCCTCCTCTCCTTTGTGTAGCCTATCAGAAGAGAGAACAGTTATCAAATTTCCTCTGAAAAAGAAAAGGAGAAAGCTAAGCAGGTAGGTCGTAATGGAAAATGTACTCATTAATATGACAGTTGGAAGTCTTTGTTACAATGTCAAGGCAGGCTTAAAAGAATAGCAATACTTCTTATATTGATTCTATTATTCAAATAATTCTGTGTAACTAGAGGGAAGTAGTTAAGGAAAAGGAAAGTACTGAAAAGCAGCAAATGGGATGGATGTTGCAAGTAGGGCTTGTGGAAACTCATGTTGAACTATCACTAGTAGTTCCATAGTGCATAAATAAAAAAGAAAGAAATCTTGGATATTACAAATACATTCTAAACCCTACTTCTTTTTAATTACAGATATTTAAAGTCTCAGCGTTTTCAGAAGACACCATTTAAGCATTACTGATTTTTTCAAATTGCTATCTATTAGGTGCTCAGTTTCCATCATTGGTCATATATAAAGCCCTCATGGTGCTGATGCAGCCTACAGCACGAAATTTAAGCTAAAATATCAAACATCCTACAATCAAGTCCCTTTTTGCTAGAAAAGTTTGGGTCTCTGATCCCTTCTGCAAGGTTCTGGAAACTCTGAATTGTAGGTTCAAGACACCTTTCAGGACTGGACCTCTGTGAGCAAAGTCATTGCATTATGGGTTTTGCAGCACAGTTCATAGTTCCAGCAATATAAGGCGCATGAATTTTAAAACAGAACTGAACTGCAGTATATAGGAAAATAAATTAAAAAATCATTGCAAAATCATTGACTCCATCTCTTGTTTTTATTGCATCATCAAATGTAAATCTTAGAGAGGTCAGCATTTTACAAGGACAGCCTTTACAATTTTCAAAAAATTGAAGCATGGTGATTTTTCATTACTGTTTGATCCCTGCGATATCTGAACAGAACAACTTAGTTCTGAAGCATAGTGTCTCCTAACAGAATTCCAAATGCTGAATGTTTTCTGTTGGATTCCTGTAGTATTTTACTAAAAGATTTCCATGAACTTCCCTGACCATCATCAAAACACTGCTGTGATCAGACAAGGAAGGGGTGTCCCTTGGAGCAGTAAACTATATAGCGTAATTCATGCCTTAAATAAGTTTAGACTAGTGATTTCTAAAGTTCATGGAAAAATGTGAACTACAAAAGTTATGCATAAATGTGTTGTGGACATAGGATAGAAAGTTATTAAGGGCTTTGGTTCCAAACTTATTACTGCTACATCCAGAAAATTCAGCCATATGGATTCCAGGGCTGATGTTCAAGTCCATGCAATGTCCTAAGACGTCCCAGAAAGATGGATTGAGTAGTGAAAGATAATTCTAGCATGTTTTAAGGTATAGTATTATATTCTTTACTGTATGTGAGTGTCATGGAGTGTCCGGTAATCATTGTAATTGTCTAAGGAAGATTGTAGGCACTTGTACTTTTAGGAGGTTCTAGCAAGACCTGTTGTTCTGTTGTGTAGAGGCTCCTGTGACTTTTAGCTGACCAGCTGGCATTAAGCCATTGAATGAAATAGGCTATAATTTTTGTCAAACACTATGGCTATATATAATTGTGGAATAACGTCTCAGAAACCCTGTAAAAAAGCATTTTCCATCTATGTCTTGCTAAAGAAAAGGTCAAGAGTATTTTTTTCTTTCAAAGATAATGACTGGCCCAATGAGGCCGGTTTCCTAAGAAAAATATGCAGATTAGTCCTCTTAATACTATACAAACTTTTTACTAGGACAACAATATTTACTGTTATGGGCCAAATTCTGATGAAAATATCAATTGGGCAGTTGACCAAGAATCCAAAGGAGAGTGATGGGGCTGAGAAGACTGCAGTGTATTATTTCTGAAGTACACCGAAACCAAGGAGAACACAGAGATTTAAACCTGCAGTTCAGATGAGAATTGGAGGTAGAGCAAAGTACATGCTTGAAACTCATCTTCCTCCTTAAAGCTTTCAGAAGATTTTTATTCCCTAGTCCCCACCCTTCCCCTGAGGGTGTCCTGACTGCTGAGAGCTTTGTGATTGCTGGTGCAGCCCAGCACTGCAGTCTGTGTAGTGATTCTTGAGAAGCAAGAAAATTAAAGCTCTGTGGAATGGGCACTCCATGGGAACCTTGCCATTTACTTGAAGTTTCTTCTTGGTATTTCTTTGAGTTGAGCCCCATAGAGCAGGCAGGGACTCCTGTGCAAAGCAGGCTCCGTGCTCAGTAGTGTGAGCGCTGACCATCTGTTAGAGGGGTAAGAGAATGAGGTAAAATTTGATCTATGCTTTGTAACAAGCTGTTGTTTAACTTTGCTATTGTCCTCTCTTATACTCACCACTAATATATTAGCCTTGCTTTGTGATATGACTAATATCTTTTTCCTCCTCTCCACCCCCTCTAAATGTCTGTTTTCACAATGTTTAAGGTGACAACCTGTGTAAAATAGTTTTCGAATTGACTTCATTTTTTTGGAGAAAAAAAAATTTAAAATCCAGAATGAGTCAACAAAGCCAGCAGAAACATAATTTGAAGTAGGCAGAATTATTACACAGTTATGGTGTGCACATACATTTGGAAAAGACTGTAAAGCACAACAACGGACGGTTGTTATTTACACCCTACAGTTGACTGCACACTCATCATATTGGCAACTGTGTGTACAGTGTGATATTGATAATCAAATGGTTTTTGTAGTATGAGGCCAAACCCAAAATGTCCACAAAATGGAGAGTTTTGCTGTGAGAGAAATTAAGAATTGAAATCATTACAGAAATCACTATTTTTTTTCTTTAAATTAATGGTGGTTTAACCACATGGCTGATAGTGGTGATAGGAGGCAAGCGGTTAAATTTCTATAAATCAGGAAGAGCATTAACCTCTTGCTGTTTAATCTTTTCTAAAGCAAATGAAATGTTGTATGATATGGTAGCATTAGTGACTAATAATAGTACTTATCAGCAATTCTTAAATCAGTCTATTATCACAAGATTAATTAGTGTCACCATTTTATTCTTCATTAATTAAGTAAGCAATTTGTAGCTAATTGCTAACTTCTTGGGTTTTTCAAAAATCCTTTCCCTGGATGTTTTTTTTCTTTCTGCCGGTATGATATTGTCTCTAATGCGATGCAGCGGAGCTGTTGAGTCCATGTGCTTTTTGGAAAAAGTAGGTAAATTACATGGTATCTGGCACTTCTTATGGGCATGTATTCAGTGCATGTAATCTTATTTCCATGTGATGCATTTATTTACTCTCTTCTCTTCAGTCGTGACAGTAGTTTTGGATTTCACTGAACTGTTCCACAAGTGAGAAGTGGATTACACTTTGCAGGAGCCTTAATCCAGTGGGGAATAAAACACGTGGCTAAAGAAGCTGGGAATCCCTGTGAGTATCCTATCAGAGTAGATAGAATAAGATGGAAAGTGGAAGCTCGTTGCAGCTAGCTTTGAACCAAAATGTGTCCTATCACTTTAACTGAACGGCTTTACTTGGGGTCCATCATGAGCAAAGAAAGTTGTCATGGAAACCTTGATGGGATAATTACTATCCGGGCAGAGCAATAAGGCCCCGGAGACTGTGTAATCAGGTGGCCATTTATTCTGGAAGACTTTGGCTTCTGCCTAGTAAACGAGTATGGAAATGGTTGATTAAATGAAAGCTGCTCTTGTAGGATCCAGTAATGAGATATAAACAATTTTTCCTGCCTATCAAAGACAATTACCGCATGGTGCTTTGATTTATTCACTGGTAAAAATATTCTAAAGCTGTTTAGAGGAGCCCAAGTGTGAAAGCTAAAGAAGGTTTTGTTCCGGAAGATAGTTTTGCTCCAAGTTCTCCTCCCTTCCACATTGTCTACACTTGCTGTAATTATCACGATCGTGTTCTTTCCTGTTAGCTTGGGTATCTCTGTATTACACTGCATTACACAGTGTACACATAACCAAAGTGCCAATTACACCACTTGTGTTAAATATCATCCTGTACAAAAAGAATATGCGTAATTAGTCTTGTTTAATTTGCATATTTCACAGTGTTAAGTGCAAAAGGCTAAAATAATCATGCGATTGTCTTTAGAAATGTTTAAAAAGTCCCTCAAGTACTTTTGTGAAATAGGTGATTGGAAAGCTTATCGAGTCCTCTCAGTCATACTATTCTGGTTATCCAGGAATCCAGAATTCAAGCTGCACATGTGTCCTTGATGTAGTTTTTAGAGCAGTTTCCTAAATCCATCATGTTTTTATATAGTTACCACAATAGAAAGAAGATGGGAACTAAAAATAAATGGCAAGATTGTTTGCTACCTCGATACTAGGACTCTAAATCCCTTCAGGGTCATGGCTTGCCCTTTAAAGGTATATAAGGTAACCATTCAGAACTGTCCACTTATTTACACTGGCACCATTTTGGAGACTGTTGTGTCTTAGATTGTAGGCAGTACTTGTAGGATGGTTAAAAATAAAATTGCAATTCAAACTGGCTCCTTCTGAGTTTCAAAACTGTCATGAAAGCAATCTGTTCACACACTACTGCTATACATCAGGGCTGGATGCAGTCAGGATGTGAATAAGGGTGCTATTGAACAGCACAACACATCCTCTGTCATATGACATGGAGAGCACATCAATCTGTGCAGAGCAAATGGGGTTGAGCGGGAGCTGTAGCTCCTTTATGTGTCCCCTGGTAAATCTGTCCTTCCTTCTGGTATATAGAGGCACCTGGTTTTGGTCTGCAAAGCTAATGCTTATCATGCCTTTTTTTTGTCAAATATCTGCAAGTGTGAGGCACATCAGTGGATCCAGTCAAGTGGCTGGTACCCTGTGAAACTCCCTAAATATCATTCCTTTAAGCAGATACTAACTTAGTGAAAAAATGGTGTGTGAACAGAAATTACTGGAGTGGAGGATCAGTTTTGCACAGGTGCTGGAGAAGAGGGAGGAGAGGGTCTGTGTTTACTTCCCTAGGTAATTTTTCTGCCCAAGGAAACTGATCCATGAAACAACCTGTGTGAAGGTTGGGTGTAAGGTAAGTCTACAACCACAAACTCAGCTGAGTTGTCTGTCTTTTGAGAACAGAGGTCTGTATACAGCTGTGTTTGTCTCCCTGAAGAGCACAGGCAGTCTAACTGGGTGTCTAAAGTATCTGTAAGACTCCTATCAATTTACAGAATCAGATGGAAATTTAAGACTTCACCTACAGATGGATTGGATTCCTGCTTTTTGACCCATAACTCAGGATCAATTTAGAGTCTGTTTTATGCTATCCTTATTCAAATACATGCCCCTTGGAGGAGAAAACAGTTAGGGTTTGTGAGGTGATATCTTATTACTCTCATCAGGAGCCTTAAAAAAATAGCAGTTCAATACCGTATGTAGACCTGCATATGAAAGGGTTGGATGTTAGAATGGATGACTGGTTAAAAACCTGTTTAAACTGTGCTTTGTTATCTGAATGAGCTAAAAGCAGGTATGTATGCTATATTAATGGTGGTAACATGCCATAAGTGCCTAAATGTCCCCCAAGACAGATCCAGCTAGTGATGATTTTGACTGCAGCATAATTCACTAATGTGAGCAGGATAGCATTTCACAATAATTATTCTTCCCAAGAATTATTTTCTTCTGTGTTGGGACAGACTGAAGAAGTCATGTAATCTGAGTGCACATCTTAAACATTTCAGTTGTGACATTTCTGGAT